TTGAGGGGATCGTACTGATGACAAAAAAATATATATATATGACCACACAAACTTTATAGAACTATGCAATACAGTGTCAGACTATAATGATTATAACATAATTCATGTTCATGTAAAGATTCCTCAGCCAATCCTAAATCTTAATCTAGAAAATGAACTGTATTCATCAAATATTTTTGGATTAATCTCACAAAACTTGAGAAAAAGAATATTTTCTTATATTTTATACACAATTACATATGCAATGACTTATAAAATTAGATATATATGCTAAACGTGGCCTGTACACCACCTTTTTGAGAGAAAACGTCCAAAGGATGCTAAACGGTCAGACTTGGGTCTTAGAAATGACGTTTCAAGCCAAACATTAACATAAAATTAAGCACACAAAGCTCCTCTGTTTGTTAGTATTTTTTCTTAAACCTGTCAGTTAGCTGTAGCAGAATCAGTTCAAGTCGTCGAAGTTGCCCTGCAGGTACAGCAGGTTGTTTGCCTTGCAAAATGAGTCAGTGTGGACAATGATATGATAACTGCATTATTGGAAAGGTGTCATAGCCTACTCTTACTGCAGTTCATTTAAACAAATCAAATCCCAATATGTCTCTTCGATAGACTCTGATCTGATGTGATGCAGTCCAGATGCAATTCGTGGCTGCCACCTTCTGTTGCCATGCATTTCAAACATGTCACTCACTCGTTACTGCATTAGGACAGAAGTCTAGCTTTGTACAGTACTCTGTTAACATGTCATTACTTTTCCGCGTGATAAAACTTCGGTTAATTTCTAATCAGAGAAAAGAGCGTTAGTAAGTCATAAAAGCCATGTAAACATACCTGATGGAAAAATCTAGAGGCACGTCAGCGCTGCTCTGAATCCGCTTCTCAAATATAAAGTCAGCACGAGACGACGAGGACGCGATTCACGCGAACGCGGATCATCTGGCTCGCGCTTCCTCTTCTGTACAGTTGGACCCGCCCATGTAAATTATGCATGTACGTCTACACTCGCTGAGATGTTTTTGAGTGTTAGAAATAACAATTACCGTGTTCATACATAGCTGATATTTGTTTGTTCATCTTTTGGTTTCGAAAAGTATTAAGGAAGTAAAATGTAAACTATATTTATTCAGTAGCCTATAAGAAAGGGGTTAAAAGGGGGTTTAGTTAATGACTGTTGTAGGTGTCACCTGTAGTTGTATAAAATTTTATTAGCCAACAAGAAGCTTTACAAGAATGTTGATTGCATCACTCACTTGACGTTGTATGTTCGTGGCGGTTTCTGTGCGCAGAAGTTGTCTGGGGTGAGTAGCCTAATTTTGAGATGTTTTCACACGGAGGGCAACGGAGATTGTTGTTTTAAAATCAAAAGTCAAATGCAGCGTCAGAGATGTATGGGGTTAGAATTGTTGCATTATTCCAAATAAATAGATTGAGATTTACAAACAAATGTAAAGAGATTCACAAAAATGTATAAAACTCACAAATAAATAAAATGAGATTTGCAAATAAAAAAAATATTTACAAATGTGTTTTATGTCACAAACACAACTCTGCCTGGCATTTATTTGTCAACCGCTTTCTGTTTTTAAATCACTGCACGCATTTGCGAATTGCTTCTTGTGCATTTATATGTAGATAGATAGATTACAGCTCCATTTCAAGGGTGCAAATATCTTCAAAATGTATCAGATTCAGTTACCGCTCCAAGTAACGTGATTGGTTGTAGCGAGAACGTGCTACGATTGGTCAGTTCAATGTGGCCGTTATCTGATTGAGTAAACGGTGGGTCGAGTCCACTTATTTGTGGATTTGTTTGCACATCGATGCTAGAAGTGTTTCAAAATTCACAGATGCGTGAGGGGATTTACAAATGCACAAGAAGCAATTCACAAATGCGTGCAGTGATTTACAAATGCACAGAAAGCGGTTCAGGCAGAGTTGTTTATGACATAAAACACATTTGTAAATATTTGTTTTATTTGCAAATCTAATTTTATTTATTTGTGAGTTTTATAAAAAGATTTTAGAAATTCTTTACATTTATTTTTGGATCTTAATCTATTTATTTGTGAATTTGATAAATTATTGTGAATCTCTTTACATTTGTTTGTGAATCTCAATCTATTTAATTGGAATAAGGCAACAATAACCCCATAGAGATGGTCTTTTTATTGGGAGATATGAGGGTCTGTGGCTCTATCGTTGGAAAAAGCGTAAATGGGAACTTGCGCACGTGCCTTGATAACCAATCATATTACATCGTTGAATTTCGTTCAAAGCAGTGCCGTTAAATATGAGTGTCCAACGGCTCTGGTTCATACCATATAGGCTGCGTCCGAAATAAGTAGGAAGGCCTACTTATTTTGAATAAGTAATTATTCACGACTGCTAAAAAAAAGTATGTTCTTTTAGATGCGCAATTCAAATTTTTTCGGTGTAAACTCTAAATAAAATTTTATAAAATACAAAAGTTTAGGAGCTCAGCTAACATCTTAAGATTAGCCGATGGGCTTAAATGATAAACGTTTTCCCACAAAAGCAGTTTATTCAGCGTGGTGAAGCCTCTCCTCCATTGACATCCATTTAAAAAAAAGCCTCTTGTCTCCTTCCCTGCGTAGGCCTACGGCACCGTTAGCAGGTGTTACGCTTTTTTTCAGCCTAGGTTGCAGGCTTGCCTTCAAGTCTTGCCTTTTGGCAGCGCTCCCTTTTCCACAAAATTGTTTGTTTGGCGCGCGTTTCTCTCAGCGGGGAATGAGAAAACCCGTAATGGATATACAATCGAGTAATGCGACGGAAAGATTCGAGGAGTAGGCTACTTGGAAACTCTGTCGCTCCGGTCCACTCATTTATGGAGATCCTGTCCGGGTGTCAGTGTGTGCTCTTCTGTGGAGACGACACTCAAGTTGGAGAACTAAACAAACTGGCCAATTTTGTTTAATATTTTCTGAATAGTTTTGTTGAATAATTAATATTTGTTTACATATTTACAGAACTACTGTATAAATCAGCATGGTTGTGCCTGTGTGATTACCTGCAGGCTGCAGCAGTCTACCTAATGTAATGTCATAAACATTGGTGGAGCTACAGTCCCCACGGCCACGGGCAAAACGTTTTCAGCGGTCTAACCCTGACTTCACCAGGCTACAAAATGAGTTTGCGGCAGACGCAACCACAACAGACCGACTGCAGCAGAGGAAACACTGCGGCTGTGTCTCAAAGCCCTGTGAGCTGCCTACCTAGCAGCATCAGACGCCCTGATACCAATCAAAAATGGCTGTGTAGGTAGACTGCCAAACAAAAATTCAACTCGTTCTGTTTACCTCACACAAATTAGGGTAATCTCGTTTACTAAACACATAAAACGTATCTTTCATCATCACACCGGCTTCTAATTGAGGCAGGATAGTCATTAGGGGCACTTTATGCATGCCAAACGTGCCTGTTACTACGATTTTATTGACACAAGGGAAGCATTTTTTCCTTTCTTGCTATCGGAAGGTTTCTAAAGGTCAGAAAAGACTGTACACATAGCAGGAATATTTTTAAATGCTTATGAATGTTAAATTACAGAATCTGAGAAAGACTATCTCAAGCAATAGAGTAAAAATAAGAAAGAAATAATCTCATAATGATTTACAGTAAATATATAAAAAAAAAATACTTTTTTGGGAGTACGGTCATGTCAATATGTGGCTCCAAGGATATAATGGTCAGATCATGTCTCAAATGTTTTCAAATATTTTGTGTGCGCAAATGGATCATGTCAATATACCAAACCAGATGCAACTTGCGCTGTTTGTCAGAGCTGTTGCTGCAATCTGAAACAACCCAATATACTGGAAAAGCAGGAAGGGGTTTTAAACATGGAATATTTAATCACATAAACACAACTTTATTCTCATATACTTGAAATATTTTGAGCTAGAAATTTGAGAAACTGGTGTCTTTTAAGTGACAATGCTGCCATCGTGTGGTGAAAATCGGAAGATTAGTGTTCCTAACCCCCCTCACTATTATAGAACACATGCCATACGTGTTTCTTTAATATATACACGTTTAAACATACAAGTGGTTTCAGATTTTTTTTTATTTTTAAAAAGTATATATTTTAAACAGATATATTTTTGAAAAGCAAAATAAAGACTGTGAAATCTGTGGCGTATGGAAGACCGTTTCTGCCACACTTGGGAGTAAAATATTATGACTTTGTAAGTCATAATAATGAGAAACTTACTCATAATTATTACGTAATTTCTCATAATAATGAAAAACTTTCTTGTAGAAATTACTCACTTTTCTCATATTAAAGAGAAACTTTAGGCTGTGTCCGACATCGCCCCATATACCCTCATTCACTATTTCACGTTACTCCACTAATGGATTGTACACTCGTTATTGAATTGAGTGAGTGCACTCGATAACGTCCACTATGGTTGTTTCGGACACCACTACAAATGGCTGTCCACTCAAATAGTGCCCTATTTAAGGGTATATGGGGCGATTTCGGAAACAGCCTTCGTCATTATTACGAGGAAGTTTCTCATTATTATGACTTGCAGAATTATTTGAGCTTGAGAATCCAGCACTGTTTCATTAAGAAAGAAACCAAACAAACAGCTTTCAGCACCATGGACAGCAGCAGTCGCAGCTTCACTTACTATTTATTTAAGCAAAGCACGTGTCACGACGATTTATTTTTCTGTTACATATTCTTTTGTATAAGATGGTCTATTCACACCACCAGGTGGCATAAAATATACAACTATTACCCATCGCCGTGCAATTCAGCTTTCAATCGCTCTATTAATGTAATTCGTATCTTATTTGTTAGAAATGCTAAAAACGCTAAGGAAAGTTGGAAACGTACAAAATACATAGCAAATGAACAAATGCACAAATCTGCCTTTCACAGTCCAATTAGTCAAGGCATCATGTGCGCGTGCGTGGAGTGGATCGTGTACCCCCCGCGCGCAGCTCGGGGCGCATCATTGACAGGTTACTCGCGTGCACTTCTCATGCTGTGCACTGAACACCTGTAAGATGTGGATGTTAACAACAGCTGGGTGGAAATCATGAGGTGCCATTAAGCCCATGCAAATCCTCTGAAATTTCATCAGAATGACTAATTGGACAAACGTGTCCAGCTGCCCGTTCAGCATCACTTTATGCGCTGAGGACATTATGGACAGTAATGCAACTGCTGAGGACTTTGAGTACCCGGTCCATCTCTTCCCAGCCCCAATACTGACTGGCATCACAGTGACGTGCTCTTTCCTGTTCCTCGTCGGAATTGCTGGGAACCTGTTGACCATTTCGGTGGTCACTAAATACAAAGACATGCGAACCACCACTAACCTTTACCTCTGCAGTATGGCACTTTCAGACCTGCTCATTTTCCTCTGCATGCCCCTCGACCTGTACCGGGTCTGGCGGTATCGACCGTGGAACTTTGGCGACGAGCTGTGCAAACTCTTTCAGTTTGTGAGTGAAAGTTGCACGTACTCCACCATCCTCAACATCACCGCGCTGAGTGTGGAAAGATACTTCGCCATCTGCTTTCCCTTCAGGGCAAAAGTCATCGTCACGCGGGGTCGGGTAAAAGTGGTGATTTTACTCCTCTGGACTGTGGCTCTGTGCAGCGCGGGACCTATATTCATTCTGGTTGGGGTCGAGCACGAGAACGGCACCAACTCCTGGGAAACCAACGAGTGTAAAGCGACCGAATATGCCATCCGGTCCGGACTGCTTACTATGATGGTTTGGGTCTCCAGTGTGTTTTTCTTCCTCCCGGTCCTCTGTTTGACAGTGTTATACAGCCTCATAGGCAGAAGGCTGTGGAGAAGAAAGGAGAATCCAGTCGGGGCCATTTCTAGTCGAGATAAGAATAATAAACAAACGGTCAAAATGCTAGGTGAGCTCAACGATGCCCTGAAAAGTCTGACAAACACTGTATAATTATATTATGTTTGACAATCATAGACTATATAGCCCATTATATTAGGCTATATGTTGCGTGGGTTTCATTCAGAAATAACAATCGTTTAATTTAATAAATATTTATTTACATCTAACAGAACAGACGCTAATTAAATGCCATGTGCATAAAGCAATAAGCCACGAGGGGGGATTTTACATTGATTTTTTTTAACCAAATAAAGTGTTCTATAAAAAAAATTATTAAAAAGAATTATAATAAAAATATTGTTATAAATGTACATTGATCTGCATTTTTGACATTACAGTTTACATTATTCATCAGAATCAGAATAAATGTTTTGCTAATTTTGTGCACGACTGCAAAGGTATGGCTATGCAGGAAAAAAAAAAAAAAAAAAAAAAAATGCGTCTCCTAATCAGACATGGGGACTATCTGTCCTGAAATTCCCCATTTTAATGGTCTAAAATTCTTTCTTTTCTGCCATACACAATTAATGCTTTTGATTAAACTATTGGATATTCTATATTATCACTTTATGGACCATTAACTCCAGCCTCCATTTAAAACGTTGAACTTGTTTATTATAATAATTTATTTAGGAATCAAATTATTTTAATGAAGAACACATTCAGTGACTAGAAGAAGCTTCCTGAACAAATGACTCTTTGCCCGGTTCTAAATCAAATATATATCTACCCCGCGAGTCACTCAGATTCGATTTTCTTTGAGTGAATCAAAAACTTACAGCGACCAGTGTAGTCCGAAAACCGAACGAATGCTCGAGTTCTTGAGTCGGTTCTTTTAGCGAACCGGTCATTCGGATCGGTTAGTGATTCGACTCAGCCGTGAGTAGCTTAACTTAATAATTGCCGACTCGAAATAATTGCTAAGCATGTTTAAACACTCTTTTTGAATATCGTATTAAATGTATTTCTTATTTTTATAATGCAATGTAAAAACCATTAAATTCTCTCTCTCCCTTTATCAGCTGTGGTGGTTCTTGCGTTTGTTCTCTGCTGGCTGCCGTTCCACGTGGGTCGTTATCTCTTCTCCAAGTCATCCGAGGCAAATTCTCCCATCATCTCCCAAATCAGCGAATACTGCAACCTGGTCTCATTTGTGCTGTTTTACCTCAGCGCTGCGATCAACCCAATCCTCTACAACATCATGTCGAAGAAGTACAGGAGCGCGGCGTGCAAACTGTTCGGAGTGAGGCGCGCTCCCGGACGATCAGTGCAGAGCATCGTGAACGCGGAGAGTTTTTCGGTGTGTAATGAATACAGCTGGAGCACGTGACATAGGAAAAGTCGTTTTGAAACGTGCACTTTTCAACACAGACTAAAAAGACTATAAACACACTGAATGAGAATGAAAAGGACAGTCAACATTAACCTCATCATTTTGGTGATTTTGAGATTATGCATTTTATTTCAACCATCCACTGAGTCATCTGATATCATAAAAGCCATTGCATATTTTAGCCTGTATATAGCAGTAAAAAATAATCAAACTGCTGAACCCTGATCACACTAAGTATATTAAAGGGATTGTTCACCAAAAAATGAAAATTCTGTCCTTAATTACTCACCATCATGACGTCCCACCTAAAGACTTTCGTTCATCTTCGGAACACAAATGAAGATCTTTTTTTATGAAATCTGAGATCTTTCTGTCCCTCCATAGACAGCCTACGTTACTACCACATTTGACACTTCAAAAAAGTCCGTAAAGAGATTGTAAAACTAATCCATATGAATTGAGCGGTTTAGTCCATAATTTTCTGAAGAGACTCAATCGCTTTATATAATGAACATATTTAATTAAGGCTTTCATTCGCATAAAAACATTGATCAGAAAACGTAAACAAACACAACCGAACCTGCTTGAAGCACGAGAACAAACCTCTTGGAAGCTCAAACGTGCTGCGTAACACGAGAATGAACCTCATTGGTTCTTACAGAAGCTCAAATGTGCTGCGTAACACGAGAATGAACCTCATTGGTTCTTACAGAAGCTCAAATGTGCTGCGTAACACGAGAATGAATCTCATTGGTTCTTACAGAAGCTCAAATGTGCTGCGTAACACGAGAATGAACCTCATTGGTTCTTACAGAAGATCAAATGTGCTGCGTAACACGAGAATGAATCTCATTGGTTCTTGCAGAAGATCAAACTTGCTGTGTAACACGAGAATGAACCTCATTGGTTCTTGCAGAAGCTCAAACGTGCTGCGTAACACGAGAATGAACCTCATTGGTTCTTACAGAAGCTCAAATGTGCTGCGTAACACGAGAATGGACCTCAATGGTTCTTACAGAAGATCAAACGTGCTACGTAACACGAGAATGAACCTCATTGGTTCTTGCAGAAGCTCAAACGTGCTGCGTAACACGAGAATGAACCTCGTTGGTTCTTGCAGAAGCTCAAACGTGCTGCGTAACACGAGAATGAACCTCGTTGGTTCTTACAGAAGCTCAAATGTGCTGCGTAACACGAGAATGAACCTCGTTGGTTCTTGCAGAAGATCAAACGTGCTGCGTAACACGAGAATGAACCTCATTGGTTCTTGCAGAAGATCAAACGTGCTGCATAACGAGAGAATGAACCTCATTGGTTCTTGCAGAAGATCAAACGTGCTGCGTAACACGAGAATGAACCTCATTGGTTCTTGCAGAAGATCAAACGTGCTGCGTAACACGAGAATGAACCTCATTGGTTCTTACAGAAGCTCAAACGTGCTGCGTAACACGAGAATGAACCTCATTGGTTCTTACAGAAGCTCAAATGTGCTGCGTAACACGAGAATGATCCTCATTGGTTCTTGAGGAAGCTCAAACGTGCTGCGTAACACGAGAATGAACCTCATTGGTTCTTACAGAAGCTCAAATGTGCTGCGTAACACGAGAATTAACCTCATTGGTTCTTACAGAAGCTCAAACGTGCTGCGTAACACGAGAATGAACCTCATTGGTTCTTACAGAAGCTCAAACGTGCTGCGTAACACGAGAATGAACCTCATTGGTTCTTACAGAAGCTCAAATGTGCTGCGTAACACGAGAATGAACCTCATTGGTTCTTACAGAAGCTCAAACGTGCTGCGTAACACGAGAATGAACCTCATTGGTTCTTACAGAAGCTCAAATGTGCTGCGTAACACGAGAATGAACCTCATTGGTTCTTACAGAAGCTCAAATGTGCTGCGTAACACGAGAATGAACCTCATTGGTTCTTACAGAAGCTCAAATGTGCTGCGTAACACGAGAATGAACCTCATTGGTTCTTACAGAAGCTCAAATGTGCTGCGTAACACGAGAATGAACCTCATTGGTTCTTGAGGAAGCTCAAACGTGCTGCGTAACACGAGAATGAACCTCATTGGTTCTTACAGAAGCTCAAATGTGCTGCGTAACACGAGAATGAACCTCATTGGTTCTTACAGAAGCTCAAATGTGCTGCGTAACACGAGAATGAACCTCATTGGTTCTTACAGAAGCTCAAACGTGCTGCGTAACACGAGAATGAACCTCATTGGTTCTTACAGAAGCTCAAACGTGCTGCGTAACACGAGAATGAACCTCATTGGTTCTTGAGGAAGCTCAAACGTGCTGCGTAACACGAGAATGAACCTCATTGGTTCTTACAGAAGCTCAAATGTGCTGCGTAACACGAGAATGAATCTCATTGGTTCTTACAGAAGCTCAAACGTGCTGCGTAACACGAGAATGAACCTCATTGGTTCTTACAGAAGCTCAAATGTGCTGCGTAACACGAGAATGAATCTCATTGGTTCTTACAGAAGCTCAAATGTGCTGCGTAACACGAGAATGAACCTCATTGGTTCTTGCAGAAGATCAAACGTGCTGCGTAACACGAGAATGAACCTCATTGGTTCTTGCAGAAGATCAAACGTGCTGCGTAACACGAGAATGAACCTCATTGGTTCTTACAGAAGCTCAAACGTGCTGCGTAACACGAGAATGAACCTCATTGGTTCTTGCAGAAGATCAAACGTGCTGCGTAACACGAGAATGAACCTCATTGGTTCTTGCAGAAGATCAAACGTGCTGCGTAACACGAGAATGAATCTCATTGGTTCTTACAGAAGCTCAAATGTGCTGCGTAACACGAGAATGAACCTCATTGGTTCTTACAGAAGCTCAAACGTGCTGCGTAACACGAGAATGAACCTCATTGGTTCTTACAGAAGCTCAAACGTGCTGCGTAACACGAGAATGAACCTCATTGGTTCTTGCAGAAGATCAAACGTGCTGCGTAACACGAGAATGAACCTCATTGGTTCTTGCACGAGAATGAACCTCATTGGTTCTTGCAGAAGATCAAACGTGCTGCGTAACACGAGAATGAACCTCATTGGTTCTTACAGAAGCTCAAACGTGCTGCGTAACACGAGAATGAACCTCATTGGTTCTTGCAGAAGATCAAACGTGCTGCGTAACACGAGAATGAACCTCATTGGTTCTTACAGAAGCTCAAACGTGCTGCGTAACACGAGAATGAACCTCATTGGTTCTTGCAGAAGATCAAACGTGCTGCGTAACACGAGAATGAACCTCATTGGTTCTTACAGAAGCTCAAACGTGCTGCGTAACACGAGAATGAACCTCATTGGTTCTTGCACGAGAATGAACCTCATTGGTTCTAGCAGAAGCTCAAACGTGATGCGTAACGAGAGAATGAATCTCAATTGTTCTCACACGTCAAACGAACATGCTTTAGCTTCCGTTTACCACAACTGATGTGTGTTGATGAATGTTTAGATGTAAATAAAATCCTCAATCTGTTCATCATAGAGATTGTGTCTCTTCAGAAATTTTTTATTAAACCGCTCAATTCATATGGATTCGTTTTACGATCTCTTTATGAATGTTTTGAAGCGTTAAAGTGTCAGTTGTGTAGCTGTCAACAGAGGAACCGATATCGCTCAGATTTCATTAAAGAAATCTTCATTTGTGTTCCGAAGATGAATGAAAGTCTTGCGTGTTAGGAACGACATGAGGGCGAGTAATTAATGACAGAATTTTCATTTTGAAACTATTCTAATGCTGACTGAAAAGTTTTTTTTATTTGAAAAAATAAAAAAATGAATTGTATGCTTTTAATTATATTTTATTGATGGTTGCATTTTTAACTTTAGGAGCAACATACCTAGTGCATAAACCAAATATTAGTGTATTTTATGATAATGTTTATGCACATGTATTTCCATCATCAGCAGACACCAGCAGAGTGACGATTCCCTTTATCCTGGTATTCATGCAAACTGTACATATGCACACTACCCAAAATGCCTTAAACTGTGTGAAGTACTGGATGACAGAGCACTGTAGATGTAAGCACTCTAACATTGTACCCTATGTGGGAGAGATACAATGGTGCTGACTGATAACATCCCATGCCATTTAAAGCCCATCACCAAGCTTATGCCATTGGATCATAGTACATAAATGCATAGCAGCCATAAAAAGTGCACTTTTTGTGAACAATGCTGTGTTTTGTAAGCTTTGTGTTTGAATGCAGTATATGTTACTTATTGGCAATGACATTCTAATTAATGTAAAACTTTCTTGAGATTCCTGTAAAACACAAGAATCTTCAAGTTGAGACATATTTTTGTTAATGAAAATATTTATGAAAGATATTTGATATGTTGTCTATATGCCTAAATTCACACTGTGATGCATTTTCTGGCTGGCGTTATTGTGTAATATACAAAGGTTTTTATGTCATTCAGTATAACTTGATTTTAAAATTAAAATGGATTTTGTGTTATTGACTACACAGCTTGTCCTGTGTTTGTTCTTGGAAATGCATAAAAAAAAAAAAAAAAGGATAACAAGTCTCGACTCCCCAGCACAGAAAATCCAATGAAAATGTTTGTTGTGTCCTTCTGTAAAGATAAAATGTAAATAATAATAAAATAAAAAATTATAATTAATATAATATAATTTATGGTCATAATGAAATACAAACACCTCAAATTGTTTCAGAAATTTAAAAAAATTTATTGTGTATAAATATATTACATATATGCTACAGATACATAATCATCTTAAATACAAAGGGTAGTAATTTTCAATATCTATACATTTAAATTGATATGGTACTTTTTTTTCTTTTTTTTTTTTTTTAAATATGTCTATGATTATAATTTACATCAATAATTATGACAGTTATGCTTACAAAAAATGGTAATATGGAATGATTTTCATGAAAATATGCAAGCATGGAAAACTATGTTTAGGCCACTTATTACCTGATATCCAGCTAAAAAAAAAAAAAAATTTAAAGAAAAAAGTATTTGTTTTCCACTTAAAAAGATTCTGGGTCTATAGTTCTTATAAAACAAAAAAGAAAAAAAAAGTGTTCTTCAAGCGTTTCCACTTCAAGTTTTCTAGTGTCAAAGTCATTTCACCTTTTTTTAATCAGAAAACAATGGAATGTTAGTCTAAAAAAAGAGTTCAGCAATACATATATACGATGAGGAGTAGTTAAAAAGTCAAAATAAAAATGCCAAGATTTGGCTGTTGTGCAGATGAAATCACAAGGTCGATCAGATATGAACCTTTTCAGAACCAAAGCAAAAACAGAATAACAAACAATACAAATATATCTGAAATAAGACAGGTTAAGTATGTTAAAATGCTGCGGTATATTTGGAAAAATAATAAAGATTTGTCATAAAAAAGACATGCTACATGAGGAAAATATTGAATATGACAGTTCTGATTCTTGTAATAAATAAATGAAGATTGCACTGTGATTTGCATTATAAAGTAAAAGTATATAGCATAAATAAATCCAACCAAACTGTTTGTGTATACCCTTTTTTTGCTCACTAACTTTGGTTAAGGGCTGATTGAGCTAGTAAACATGATCATGTACTGTATGTGACCAGGGTAAAGGGTTAATGGAATACTGTAAGCAGCAGATCTGAAATGATTCGTCATGAAAGATTGGAATTGTGGATTTAAAGGCACAGGTTCACATCACATTAAGTCCCTGAGGTACAAACACTCCAGACTTCACAACACTGTACATTGATTGATTGCAAAGACTGTCATTTGACTCTCTTTGGACTGACAGTTGCTGGTGTTTTTTTTTCTTTTTCCTTTTTTGTACAGAAGGCCCAAGGACACCTCTCTCTCTCTCTCTCTCTCTCTCTTTTTTAAGACAAACTTGAGTATAAAGCTTTAAAGAAGCTTTTAGACAGACTTTCCAGGGGCACAGATAAGAGAAAGAATATTGGTGCTGTTTATCTGTCTAGACATTGAATTAAAGATAATCAAAACTGACCATTAAAAAAAACATCCTCAAACTCCATTCTTGCATAACTTGAGATCCGAAAGGCCACTTTTTACTTTAGTGTTAAAAATCTCCTAAATACTAAATATAAAATGTATAAAATATGCTACAGCATCTTAAACTAAAACAAAAAAAAAACAGGCACAGACGCCGAACAGTACGTTTCATCATTACTGATTTCTTAAAGCTGTAACTCACCTTATAGAAAAACTGTAAAAAACCTGTAATAAAAAATCATGTGAAATCTGCTCAGGTGGTCGTTCTTAAAACTGTAAAAGGTGTACTTGCACTAATGGTTTTGCAAGCTTTAGTTTAAAAACTCAAGTCTAAATCAGAAGCTGAAGCAGGAAGGCCATTACGACCGAGAGAGTGGCCACCCCAAATACTATGAGGCCGGCGAACTGTTCATCTGTGAAGGTTTTTCCCATGGGCACCCTGGTGACGTCCGCTTCCACAGCCAGTGTGGCGTCAGAGCGCCGCAGGTTGAAGTGAGCGGACGGGCTGAAGGACCCGAACAGCTCCTGATGGGTGTCTGCGCAGCGCCTGCATGCAAAAACTCGCACCCGGTAGTCTGTGTTCCACTGTAGGCCGAAGAGCTGGAAGGACGTCTCGTCTCCCTTATACACCTAAGAGACAGAAGGAAAGTAATGCATTAGCTCAGATCAAGTTCATCCTTAATCACGGTGCATACTTTTGGATACTTAAAAAGGAATTATTATTATTATTATTAATAATATACTTCTTAGATATTTTATAGGGTGAATGGGATGGAAAATAAATAATATATTTACACATAATAAATATATTTTTATATATTTTTGTATGTAAATATTAAAATTTTAATATAAATATACAATAACACAAACTATATATATATATATATATATATATATATATATATATATATATATATATATATATATATATATATATACATACACACACACACACACACCAATTCATTAAAGGCATATAATAAATATAAAAATATAATATATAAAAATAAATGTATTACAAAATAAATGCAAACTTATACATGGCAATTTATAAGTAAATAAATAAATGAAAGGAAGGTGCTCTGTAAAAATCCCTAGCTATAAAAATAATATTATTATACAAGGGGATTTAACATTTTTATTACACACACTTTTTTTTTTACATAAATACTACTACAATATAATTCGAATTATTAAATATAGCTGCAAGCAGCAATCACCGGGTCCAAGCGCAAAAGCAGACGACAAGACAAGCCAACATGGCTGGGAGTTTCAGACCAACTGCAGCAAGGAGCATAGATGAATTTTGGCAAAATGGCTGAAAAATCATATACATTAACTAAAAATATGATTTAATGGACTATCACTATCAACCAATAGGTGGCGCAGTTACGAAATGTATTTGGTCTGGTCAGAGTGAGGTGACAATGTTCATTTTCTAAATGTCAAAGTATTGCAGAGCCTGAATGGTCATTATGGCAGCATGCCTAAAATTTGATGCTGCACTTTACAAAAACGGTTTCGTCTATTGATTGACACGAAATCCATAACTTTTAGTCAGCACGGTCTGGAGATGATACGATTCGATTTTGGTGAAAATTGGACAAACGGCCTTGGAGGAGTTCGAAAAAGTAGGTATTCAATGAAAATCAAGATGGTGGATAGGAAGTTCGTCCAAATACATCAAACCTGGTATCTATGTTCTTGGTACAACCCAAGGAATATATTAAGACCAGTGTCATTAAAATAGGCAGATGTATTCAAAAGTTTTTGGAAATGTAATTTTAACTTTTGACCAAAAGGTGGCGCTGTCTCAATCTTTTGAGTACCTTCAAGGCAAGGTGCTGGTAACAAATTCTAAGTTTCGTAATGTTACAGCAATGTGTTCATTAAGTATAGCATTTCACATCACAAAACTGCATTGAAATCAATGGGATTTTCATGTTTTGTTCTATTATAGCGCCACCAAGAGGCTCAGTCCTACAATTTTTTTCACATGTCCTCAGAGTGAGCCCCTACATCTGTGTGTCAATTTTGGGGAAGATATCTCAATTCACTTCAGAGTTATAGACATTTATGTGAAAAAAACACATAAAAAAAGACTGACACGTGACTTTGAATTTTACGACCCCTTACTATCAATATTTTGGCATTTGGGCATTGGCGTATAGCTATCGACCTATGTTTCCAAACTTCTGACGGTGGTTTCGTCTCGATCGGACTAGCGGTTTCGAAGATATCGGCAAATGTTTTTTAAGCGCTAAATCACAACGCTACACAAACCGTAAGTCAAAACCTAGCATGTTTGGTATCTGTGGACTCGGCAAGGATTCAGGACCTCAACGAGATGTAGTAGTAGTAGGCCTCCTTCGGTCGTTTGTCGACCATGGGTATTGCGCCCTAAAAGTTCGTAGTGTTGCGACTAAAACAGCATCGTCGGTGGCTGGTGAGTCCAATGCGGGAATGACAGTCTCTGCTGCACAAAGTGCAGATGTAGTTGGTCGTGGCTTGATGTCCGTGTGTGTGTGTCTTCCGACTAGTTCTTCTCTCCTCTGTTAGCTTCAAGATCTTCTCCTCGCCTGTATTTAGCTGTTTCTTGAGCATACAGCGCCAGCTGCTGCGGTTAGCTGCAATGTCCTCCCAGATATCTGTATTGATGTCCAAGGCTTTCATGTCTCGCTTGCAGACATCTTTGTATCTTAACTGGGGGCGACCTTTGGGTCTTTTGCTGTATGCGAGTTCACCATAGAGGATGTCCTTGGGGATCCGCCCATCTTCCATACGGCGCATGTGGCCAAGCCAGCGCAGTCTGAGCAGCGTGTACATGGTGGGGAGGCCGGCACGGGCGAGCACCTGGGCGTTGGGCACTTTGTCGTTCCAGCTGATACCAAGGATGCGGCGAAGACATCGCATGTGGTAGCCGTTCAGCTTTTGCTCTTGCTTGGCAAATGTTGTCCAGGATTCACTCCCGTACAGGAGGGTGCTGACTATGCAGGCTTTGTACACTGCCATCTTGGTTTGGGTGGTCAGCTTGGGGTTTTCCCCAGACGCGAGTGGTCAGTCGTCCTAGAGTTGTTGTAGCCTTGCCGATGCGTTTGTTGATTTCGGCATCTAAGGACAAGTTGTCAACCAACGAGTTGTCAACGAGATGACTCCCGTGAAAATAAGTCAACCACAGCCAGAGTTATAAGCATTTGAAAAATAAATTTTACCACTAGGTGGCGCTGTTTCGAAAGTTTTCAGGCTTCTTCAGGGCATCGTACTGATGACCCATACCGAGTTTCGTAACAATTCGTTAATGCGTTCAAAAAATACAGCATTTTAGCACATAATTCAAAATGGCCGACAGCCAAAATGGCCGAAAATTGGATATCAGTCGACTCGGCATGACGCCCTGAATCTAACGAGACCACTTTTATGATTTTTGGACAAACCGTTCAGAAGTTATGAGCGAAAATAGACATTTTTCATATCTCCGGACCAGTAGGTGGCGCTACGCTGAAACGCAGCATGTAGCCTCAGGTCATGCTTGTGATGACATGTACCAAGTTTGGTCTGAATACGATTAAGCGTTGCGGAGATACAGCCTTACGTCTGTTTTCGCAAGCGCTACGTAAAATTAATTTGCGCGGTATTAGAAAACGGTTAAGCGAATCAACTTGAACTTTTTGTCAGCACTGCCTGGAGATGATCTGGTTCAATTTTGGTGCAAATCGGACAAACCGTCTAGGACGAGTTCGCAAAAGTAGGTTTTTTGGACAATTCAAAATGGCGGTCATATTTCCATGACGGAAAATGACGTCATAGGGTGCAATCGAATCGTCTTGAGCCAAGGTATCATAGGCAAAAAGATTTTTGTTTCTAACCCTTATGGTTCCAAAGTTATTAGCATAATCATAAGTGAAAGTTTGGACAGGTGGTGGCGCTAGTGGGAATGAGTTAGAGTCTCCAAATTTGATATGGTGACTTTTCAGACTGTCCTCTATCTGTGTGCCAAATTTCATAACTTTCCCGCAAGCGGTTCTATGGGCTGCCATATACTCCCAGTCGGAAGAAAAAGCAGAATAATAATAAGAATCTGAACAGATACAATAGGTGCCTCCGCACCTTCGGTGCTTGGCCCCCAATTATACAAGGTGACTGGCAGTGGCAATGAATAAAAAATGTAAACGACTAAATAAAAAAATTAAAAAAATATTTATATATATTAGTATAAACATGTACACTCACCGGCCACTTTATTAGGTACACCTGTCCAACTGCTCGTTAACACTTAATTTCTAAGCAGCCAATCACATGGCGGCAACTCAGTGCATTTAGGCATGTAGACATGGTCAAGACAATCTCCTGCAGTTCAAACCGAGCATCAGTATGGGGAAGAAAGTTGATTTGAGTGACTTTGAACGTGGCATGATTGTTGGTGCCAGAAGGGCTGGTCTGAGTATTTCAGAAACTGCTAATCTACTGGGATTTTCACGCACAACCATCTCTAGGGTTTACAGAGAATGGTCCGAAAAAGAAAAAACATCCAGTGAGCGGCAGTTCTGTGGGCGGAAATGCCTTGTTGATGCCAGAGGTCAGAGGAGAATGGCCAGACTGGTTCGAGCTGATGGAAGGGCAACAGTGACTGAAATAACCACTCGTTACAACCGAGGTATGCAGCAAAGCATTTGTGAAGCCACAACACGCACAACCTTGAGGCGGATGGGCTACAACAGCAGAAGACTCCACCGGGTACCACTCATCTCCACTACAAATAGGAAAAAGAGGCTACAATTTGCAAGAGCTCACCAAAATTGAACAGTTGAAGACTGGAAAAATGTTGCCTGGTCTGATGAGTCTCGATTTCTGTTGAGACATTCAGATGTTAAGAGTCAGAATTTGGCGTAAACAGAATGAGAACATGGAACCATCATGCCTTGTTACCACTGTGCAGGCTGGTGGTGGTGGTGTAATGGTGTGGGGGATGTTTTCCTGGCACACTTTAGGCCCCTTAGTGCCAATTGGGCATCGTTTAAATGCCACGGCCTACCTGAGCATTGTTTCTGACCATGTCCATCCCTTTATGGCCACCATGTACCCATCCTCTGATGGCTACTTCCACCATGTCACAAAGCTCTAATCATTTCAAATTGGTTTCTTGAACATGACAATGAGTTCACTGTACTAAAATGGCCTCCACAGTCACCAGATCTCAACCCAATAGAGCATCTTTGGGATGTGGTGGAACGGGAGATTCGCATCATGGATGTGCAGCCGACAAATCTGCGGCAACTGTGTGATGCCATCATGTCAATATGGACCAAACTCCCTGAGGAATGCTTCCAGCACCTTGTTGAATCTATGCCACGAAGAATTGAGGCAGTTCTGAAGGCAAAAGGGGGTCCAACCCGTTACTAGCATGGGGTACCTAATAAAGTGGCCGGTGAGTGTAAATATTTATGTATATACATATGTACAGTATATTTATATAGATCTGTAAATAATATAAATTTAAATGCTATCCCTTATTATAAAAAAAATAAGGTTACACTTTATTTTAAGGTGTCATCGTTACAGTGTAATTATACATTTAAGTACTGAGTAATATTACATAACTACATGTACTTACTATAGGGGTTAGGATTTGGTTGTGTTAGTTGCATGCAATTATGCAAAATTTACTGTTATTACTATAGTAACTTCATATAACATAGGTTACAAGGACACTGTAAAATAAAGTGTTACCAAAAACAATTTAACAAAAGATCTTTGTTTTAGGCAGCTACAGCAAATGCAGTAAAAGAACAAACGAGGAATGAATCAGCAAGATTTTAGGTTCACTGGTCATCAGAAAAGAATCCAAGATGGAAGACGACAATCTTTTCACTCGGTCTCTGACCCACATACACAAGATAAATCTTCAAAGCTCGCTAATAAAAGAGTTTGGTCTGCTCAAAGGGAATCTCAACAAGCCACTGTAATCCTTTTATCTGGAGTGCGAGACACACTGTCATGATCAATATCATACAAGAATGAGCTGTACTTCTGTTCATAAAACACTGATGATTACAGTTACATAAATATATGTTCTTGCTTGAAATACATTTTCCAAACATTTTTCCTCAGTGTTTATTTTTAAGTACACCACAAATTTAAGCACACGAGAAATGAACCAAAAAGTGAAAGATAAAAAGAAAAAATTCATGCACCTTTTTGCAAGGATGTTTGTGTGTAACGGGTCATTCTGCACTAATGACCCCTACAATATGCTTAATAGTCTGTATGTAGCACAAGTGCACTACTCAATGGAAGACTCCATTTAATTCACAGCAGGAAGTCAGTGTGCTTCACAATGAGAAGCGTTTAAAAAACCAAGCAAAACTAATTATTCTACATCTTTTATTGGCAAAACTAAACAAGCACCAAAAAAAACCAAACAAACACTGAGTAAATGGAAAATAAAAACAGGCCTGGTAAATATTGTTGAAGTCACGTATTCAGACTTCATTCCACCTGTCACATGCAGCACTCAGAAGGACCGCAACATAGGTCTCCATGGAAACAAAAGAGATTTTAAGCCTCTCAATAAACGGTAGCTCAGTTTAGGTGAAGTCTTGATATTATTGCCATGAAAGACACACAATTATGTATGTATAATTAGTCTTGTGTATTAAAAATCCTAGTTAATTAAAGGCAGTGAAAATATTGACATAATCCTGAATGCTACATGTCTAGCACTTAAAACAAGGCAGAAAAAAACAAATTAAAAATCACTTCTTAAACACCTTAGTGGTATTTGCATAAACGGGGGGATAATGGCAGCTCAGTTCAATTGTTAATTAAGCTAATATATTGCCTGGGGAACTCCAGTCCTTTATTAAATTATTTTGTTAGCAAGGCATTAGTGAGGATGAATTTAGTAGAACAGATGAATGACTGTAAAGGTGAATCACAAGAAATGTCAAGGGCCCAGTTGTTCAAAAAAATTAAGGATCAGGTAATCCATATTACATTTGTGCCGATTTTTCAAAGCAAAACTGGATTGGAAAGAAAACAACAAACAAACAAAATTTTCCTTTAAAAATGAGACCCCTACGGAGGCACTAAAGTATGGAAGCTCGTTTCCGCCACGGAATAAAACAATTTAATTGCGACTTTATCTCTCACAATTAAGACATTCAAATTTTTATTTTTGGGTGAACTGCACTGACACTATTGGATGAGAACTGAACTGAGCTGGACGATGACATCACTGTTTTCTGCAGAACTGCTTTATAGTAGTCTCAGCCTCAGACTGAGAACGTTGGCTAAACGTCTGATGCATATGGTACACTTAACTGGAAACACTTCAGGAATGTCGAAGTCGTCATCTGATTGGTTGAATTTGATCGGATTTCTGGGGCGCGCGAGTGTCGCGTTTATTTTCGGCCCGCCGGGAAACAAAGCGCAGACGTGTGATTGCGGAAGAAAAACTGTTGTGTTTACATGAGTGACAATGAGCATTTATCAAGATCAGCTGAACGTAGGATTCTCAAAAGTATGCGAGGTTCACGGCATAGACTCTTTAAGAGATGTCCAGGAGTTTTGTTTGAGGCACTTAGTGGAGACAAAAAGAGATATTTTAGCCTGTTTGCCGACGGGATTTGGGAAGAGTATTATTTTCCAAGCCTGGCCGACCCTTTGTCAGCATTTAGAAGGATTCCCAGCAGATCCAATTTTACTAGTTGTGTGTCCCCTCCTATCTATTATGGAAGATCAAGTGAAGTACCTAACTGCGAAGGGGATATCAGCCGCGTTTGCGGGCAAACATGAAACAACAGACGCTGACATCACAGCTGGCCGATTCAGTATTGTGTTCGGTTTTCTTCACCTTCTATGATTTTCTATGCTGACTGACTTGTTGCACGCCGGTCTGTTGTTGTGGGGACATTTCCACGCCCCGAAACGTGACGCTGAACGAAACTAACTGTAATTGGTTGTTTGACATGTCGGTCAAACGGCCTTATGGGCGGGCCTTGGCCAAAGAAAGCTGCTATGAATTCCAGACCTTCAGCCGTCAGTCTGAAGGTCTGGCTTCGCGAGACTAGCTTTATAGCTGAATTTAGCTCATTTCATATGTAATGATCTTTACACAGTGATTGAACCGAACTGAATCCACACTGAACTGATTTCAAAAGTCTATTTAGAGATGCTTTACAGCAGAAATGAACTCTGTTTGCATTAATATAAACATTATTTTCCTGTTTATCACTCTGAATCTGCTTTAAAACAATCTGTTCAATTAAAACAATAAAGTGCATTATAAATAAAGGTGACTTGACGTTAAAGTAATGAGAATTTGGTAGGAAAATGACCTTAAAACAATGTCTCACCTTTGTGAGATTCAACCACATATATTCATGAAAAGACGCATCCTCAATAAGAAGAGAGGACAGAAAATGTGAAGGAGGAGGAATAAAAATTATCTCATTTTAATGAATAAATCCAGACAATTTCAAATGTTGTGATTTTCTATTCGATTTATCGCACCTTGGAAGTGGCGTAACAAAAATCAATTCACAACTAAAGCGATTGTACACCTGGATGGACCCAATCGTATGATAACATGTTTCCCTCTCTCTGCGTGCCTTTCCGACCCCACAGCACAACTGAATGAATCCTTTGGGACTGTGTGTATGGGAGCACTCAATTCCATTCAAATGTTGATTGTGATGAGTTAAAGCAGATAAAATGGAACAGAGAGCAAATGATGCAAATAGCTTGAGCCCTGTTTCCATTTCCTGTTCTAAATTAATTCTATTCATCGACAGCTTGTCTCCTGGGACTGTGGCCATATGTAAATCTAGCATAGAAAAAGACAGTGTTTCTTCCGTGAAACAAAGTAAAACTACCATATCGTCGCTGTCCGATGAAAACCACGTATGCCCATTTTGCCGATTTTGAGATTTTTCGACGGATATAATGTCCAGGTTCATTTCCGTATACAGCATGCTTCACATTATCTAAATGACCAATGAAAAGTTGTGAAATCATGTCATCTGATTTTCACGTATATCCATTTGGTGTCAAAGCTGTCAATCACGCCGCGTATCTCCCACCCTGTGGATGCATCTCGCCGGTCTCGTGAAGATTCGAAGCACTGCTACTTGGGCGCAGAGATATCACGCAACACCTGAAATAAAGCTTGCCACAAAGAACCGGCAAAAGTAATGATTATGCATGAAACATTTGAATTGTTGATAAAGTTGACGATGCAGACTCGCCATCTTCGCAGTAGTGAACGCGCCTATAGAGACAAAATGCACACTTCATATGAAGTGCTTCTTTTTTATTAATCCAGGCAAATTTTTTGATGAAACATTGATTAAAATGAAGATACAATTTATACAAAACGAAATAAAATTTAAAGAAAGGCTTTCTACAAAACAAAACTTAGTAGATCACAATCTGACCCATTCCAAATGTTTTCCGATATAGGCCTATTGGTCATCTTATGATCCTATCTTACTCATCTCATGCGGTTCCGTTTTCATATAATCAACATAGATGAAATAATACAAAAAACCATTATATTATTTAAACATAAATATGAAACGTATGTTTAAGTTTTTTAACTTATAAGCGTCACACCGCTCCGCTTTGCTCACATGCTAATAATCAAATAATACCCAGCGATCTTCGAATATTATTTTTGCTTGAAAATTTCGTTTTGTATAAATTGTATCTTCATTTTAATCAATGTTTTCATCAACAAATTTGCAAGCTTTATTTCAGGTGTTGCTTGATAGCCTATATCTCTGCGCCCAAGTAGCAGTGCTTCGCCTGTGCTTCCCCCTATCAGTCTAGCATTGCCATGTCAGTGTATTGATTCATTGTCCCTTCATAGTTTGCAAGAGACATATAATAAACTGAGACGTAGGCTATTTAATAAACTGAGACGTAGGCTATTTAATAAACTGAGCATAGCCTATTCATCTGTCAATATGAAACGCCACTGGGTCATTCTAAATAATGATCGGAAAAACGCGTATCGACCACCGTTACTGTAAAATATGCACGTATGTCCATTTAAACTCGATTTTGGTCAAATGTGGATTATATCATTACACTGGCAAGAATATGGTTACATTTAAAGTTGTCGTACCAAGTATGACAACGCTACGTTCAACTGCTTTTGAAATTACGTGTTTTTTTCACTTCCTGAAAAGTAACCGTTTTGGACATACGTGAGTTTCATCGGGCAGCGACGATATGGTATTCTTATCTCAAACATTTAAACAAAAGTATCAAACATTTCCAACAAGTCGAAGTTCTTGAAAAACAATGTGGAGGCAACAGCTGCTTTAGGAAGTCAAAGATGAAGGAGTTTGGATCATACCTGTTTAAAATCAGATTCTCTGCCTCCCAGCACCTGTAGCACATAGCTGATCCGGTCTCCTCTCATTGGTGGAATACTCTCCCATGTGACCTCACAGGTATTTCCCTCTAGTTGAACAATTTTTGGGGCTGAAAAAATAAAAATAAATAAATAAAAAAATAATAAAAAAAAAAGAGTTTTTCAGGTTTCTTTGTTTTATTTACATCTTTTCTTCTTCTATACACTACCGTTCAAAAGTTTGGGATCAGTAAGATATTTTTAGTTTTTTATGTTTTACACATTTGTTTGTTTTTTGTTTTTGAATAGTGAAAAACAGTAATATTGTAAATATTGCTTATCTAAAATGAATGTTTTCTATTTGAATATATGTAACTTACTCCAGTCTTCAGTGTCACATGATCCTTAGAAATCATGATTTGCTGCCCAAAAAAACGTATTATATCAATGCTGAAAACAGTAGTGCTGCTAAATATTTTTTCAGGATTCTATGATGAATAAAAAGTTCAAAAGAACAGCATTTATTTGAAACAGAAATATTTATAACATTATAAATGTCTTCACTGTCACTTTTGATCAATTGAATGTGTCCTTGCTGAGAGTATAAGAATATTAATTCCTTTAAAAAAAATTACATGCATATACATTATATATACACACTATACAGTGCCTAGAATAAGTGAACACACCCATGCTAAAGTTGACTAAAAAGAGGAATAAAAAAAATATATCATCTTTTGGAAATTGATCTTAAATGGCATGGTTTTATTTCAGTTAGCCTAATAGCTGGTTTGATTTGCATTGAGAGATGATCTTATGGAAAAGTACACCATGCCAATCTCTAGGTATGGTGAAGGGTATGTGATGATGTGGGGCTATTTTAATTCCAAAGACCAGGGAACTTTATCAGGATGCATAGTATCCTAGATCCATGAAATAACTGGCCTTTAAAAAGAAAAATCTGCCTGCCTCTATGGGAATTTAACATAGGGCTGTACTGACTTATGCCCCTTGTATTTTAAGGAAGAACATTTATTTATTTACGATACATTATTCATTCACAAAGAAAATTGGTGTTCTTAAAGGTAGGATTTTTCCACATTTTTTAAATAAAGGCATTAAGATCAATTTCCAAAAGATGATTTTTTATTCCTCTTTTTAGTCAACTTTAGCATAGGTGTGTTCACTTATTCTAGGCACTGTGTGTGTGTGTATATATATATATATATATATCTCATCTCATAGCAATCCCAAACTTTTGTAGCTCTACAGATGAGTAGAAGTATAATAAATGTGGTACCTTTCAGTGTTTGTGGCAGAGATTTGGTGGTGCTGAAGGTGTACATCTCAGAAAACGGCCCCTCGCCCGCCTCGCTCACTGCCTGGATCCGGAAACGGTACCGGCTCGATTCGCTCAGTCTCTGCAGCTTAAAAGTGTGGCTCGGACCTCGGTAAACCACCACAAACCTAACAAGATAGTGAAGGCTTATTACAAACACGCACAAACAACATTCATTATAATTTTTAATTAACTGGTAGCCTAGAATTTCTTTTAAATCTTGAGTGCAAATGGAAAAAAAATTGATGGATGGCTTGAGATCACATAGCTGAACGCTGTTCCGTTCACTTTAATAAATAGCATGAAGGTAGAAAAGATTGCGCAGTACAGGCAGGCCTTCATTACCTCCATTTAAGAGTCCAGACTTTACTGCTTATATGGTTAAAATTTTTCAGAAGAGGAACTGAGGCTGAAAGCTTAAAACCGGGGAGTATACGGGCCTTTATTTGCTTCTAAATTAGCCATTGTGGGTCAGTGACGAGCGACTCTGAGGAAGCATTAAGGCAGGTGGTCTTGATAACCCTGAGTCTCCTATTCTAATTCCCAACAGAGCTTTGAGATCAAGTCTTCTCATTAACAAACTCCACTTTAATGGACCCACAAACACAAAATGTGCTTTTCAGATTATCTGCTTAAATCAGAGAGAAGAACCTGCCCTACGGGTGCATCAGGGACAAATTAAAGTGAAGTGCATGCATACGCACGCACACGCACACACATGCAGAGATGCTTTACTATGAAAAAAAAATTTATATTCAAATGAAGAACATTTACATAATTTGAGCAAAATTACCAAGCTATTGATGTTAAGTACATATATATACATATACATATACATATACATATATATATATATATATATATATACATATATATATATATATATATATATATATATATATATATATATATATATATATATATATATAAACTTAATTCAAAATATTACCAAAACCTATAATGGTAGGGGGTAAAGCATTACAATTAACAAGAGTTACGTAATCAGATTACTTTTTTCTGAGTTACTTTTTTAAATAAGTAACACAAGTTACAAAATGTTCTCATTTATTGACTGACACCTCTCCTGTCTCCACGTTGAGAGAAATCGGGAGTAACTGCAGAGGTGTTGTGTGTGCTGTGTTAACATGATTACTACAGTTCTAGACTAAATGTGAGCAGGCATTGCTCATCTCACTTGCACAAAAACAGATTCAGTATTCCTCAAAGTAAAAAAATAAATAAAAAAACCCCACTGTAAAACGCAAACTCAGTATATTACGAAAACCTGCAATAATTGAAATGTTAAATTGCACAAATATACTTTATGTATTAAGTCTCACTTTTTTAATATTTCATCTTTTTGCTGCTGACTTTCGATGATCCAATTCAACCACACCAATAAGCAAAAACATACTTTTTTAGGGAGTAATGCAATATTCAAAAGAATAACCTTTCCCCAACACATGGTACTAAAATAACACTGAACGAATAGACAAATGGCTTTCTTAAATGTTGTTATAGAATTTTACAAGTCATTTCTAAAAGTCTAGAACAAACACTCACCGACTGTGCAAGACTGACTAACATTTTTACCTAAAGGTAACAAAGGTACCTTAACATATAGGTCAATTAACTATTAAAGCCCACAATCAGTTGGTACCTCGCTGCATGAAAGGCTTCATAAGTCTTCTAAAAATACATCTAATTTAGCCTAATTACACAAGACTTCATTAAGACCAATTAGTCATCTCTCAGACTAGTTGATAATGAAACTATGTAGTTCTGCACATCCTTCAGTGCTAACCTCTGATTCCTGTCCTCCATCTGCAGAATGTAGGTAGTGTCGTTGTTGAGTTGACTTCGGCTGCTGAAACCCCAGCGTAGTTTGAGACTCTGGGGTCCGACCGCTGCACACTCCAGCCGTGGTGGAAAGGGGGGCAGGGGCCTTGTCCTCACCGTTAGGGTCTGACTGAAGGGCCCGGGGCCCATTTCATTTTCTGCTCGAATCTGCAGGCTGAGAGAAGAAAGGAAATAAAGTGTTAAAGCTTTTTAATCTTGTACAGTTGTTAGCTCCCTTGGGCTTAAAAGACTAAGTAACTCCTAAAATCAATTCTGATTCTCTTCAAATGATCTCTCTTCACTTGAACGACCCTACAGACTATTATAAGGAAACTCGGTGTCAATGATTCAGTATTGGTAAATTTAAAGGGAATAAATCACCCAAAAATGAAGCTCGGTGACCTTTCAAGCACAGATGAAAATGATCTACTCTGGTTGAAGGGGTGGTCTTGCATACGAATGGGGATTTCTAAGAAGTTACCCATCTGATATCCAAGAATCCAATGATTGTAAGTGCACATGGGACAGAAAAACATTTCTAAATTGTTTTAGCAGAAAAGATCTAAAAAGAGGGAAGGTTATTACAATACTTGGCTGGTAACATTTTTATGAATTCTAACAATGCAATGTTGTGAGCACATAAACGTGAACCAACATGAATGATACTCGGAACAGTGCTGCATTGTCACGAAAGTTTAAGCCTTGCGCATTTAAATATTCAAGTGCAAGAAGCGAGTTGTGGGAAGTTTTCTGTGCCTAAACATTTTAAGTGCTGAATACTGAATGGAACTCTCTTTCATGTCTTGCGCTTGAAGTGACAAATTCACACAAAGTGTCCTAGTAAACATAGTCGGTTATGTCTTAAGTGAGAGTAAATAGTTGAGAAAGAAAACGCATGTTTACAGTATCAGTAGCCTATATTGGATCCATGCAGGTCTTAAAGTGACATCAGCCTTATAATCCTGCTGCTGTCCGTGTCAATGTATATCAAAAAAAAAAAAAAAACTCACTCACTGCTCTTGTTTGAATAACTTTAATAAGGATTAAATTTACATTTAATTTATACAGTGAAGACTATGCAATGCAAATTGTTTTACATTTGATTACATTTCTGTACCTGAAAACTACTGTTGGATCTTCCTGAAATAGTTTTCAGGTATAGTTTATTTTACTTTGTTGTATTACTGTGTGCTATTACTGTTATTTGTCTTTAATGATGTTTTAAATTTATATTAGTTAGGCTAGTAGTTTTAACTGTGGTCTTGAAAATGGAATAAAGAATGGTGAATTTTCACTGGTATTTTGCTGTCAAAAAGTTAATTTTAGGCCCTGCTCATGTTGTTCTAAACCTGTATGACTGTCTTCTATGAAACATATATCAGTTACACTTGCGCAAACGCATAAGAACCAGTTGTTTTGGTGTCATTTATTCACTGAATAAAAAAGGGCAGCATGAACATTCTTTAAAATTTCTCTTTTTGTGTCTTATTGAAAGAAAGTTATACACATTTGGAACAACATGAGGGTGAGGAAATGATGACTAAATTTACTACCTCCTATTATTATTATTATTATTAACTAACTCCTATTATTAGAACATATATTATATGACAGTGTAGAAAATACAGTAGTTGAGCTGCTTAATATTTTTGTGGAAACTGAACAATTAAGGATTCTTTGATGAATAGAACAGCATTTATTTGAAGAAATCTTAAAACATTTGAATGGTAGTATTTTGAGAGAGAGAAAGAGAACACTGTGCTTGTCAAAAGCGATGTTTACAACTAATGTGATGTTGATAGGGCACCTGTGTGAACGTAAGGACAACTGAATTCATACACCCATTTAAAATCACATTGGTAATTGCAAAATTGCAAAAGTTGAGCATAATTTGTTTTCAGAGACCACGTGGCTTGACATTTAGTCATCTAATGCTTTGAAATTCACATACATTTTGGTAACATTGGGTCAGCAGGGTGAGCTGGAACGTTATTTTTTTGGACCGATAGCGAAGGATTTCAAAATCTCTAGTCATTATAATTACGAGTGCATTTGCCATATTAATTGGGGATGTATTTCACTGTCCATTACCTCAATGGAGAAGTCACTTCTGTGTCCATTTAATGTTATCATCCATCCCAAATTAAAGCCTTTACCTCAGGTAACATTTAACAGACTTGCTTTCCCGAAGCCTATTAGCCCGAAGACCATGTGAGAGAGTAATTTTTATATGCAAATGTGTTAAGAAGATCATCCTTTTAAAATATATCCCTATTTACACGAGGACTTCGCTTTTTTTTATTATTTTATTTTAGAAGTACCATTACACTCTTAAAAATAAAGGATCAAAAAAGTTTTTTTGCCGTGAAGCCACGGAAGAACCATTTTGGATCCTCAAAGAGCCTTTTAGTAAACAGTTCTTAAAAGAACCATTTTTCTTCATTTGAAGAACATTTTAATAACCCAAGAACCATTTCCCACTATAAAGAACCTATTGCGCAATGGAAATGTTCCATGGATGTTACATGTTCTTCATGGAACCATAGATACCAATAAATAACCTTTATTTTTGTTTTGTTTTTTGGAAACATACTACTGTAATACCATGTTTTTTGACATAATACTGTAGTTTTTTTGTAAACAGCATGGTGCATGAATATGACAGCCATTCAGTACCATAGTAAATACCAGATGTGAATACCACGGTACATTGGATATAAACACACTGTGGTTTTGTATATAAAAAAACAGCAAATATACCCTTCTAACAACTTGCACCCAGAATGCACCATTTTTCTGAGCACTTCTTGAGCCAGACATAAGTGGAGTCCATTTGTACAGCTAATAACACTAATTCAGGTACCTGCTCGTGGCTCACCAGCACTCTTCTGTATATTACACGTGAAAATAAGGTCCCTGGTCATCACTAATGCACAAATATATATATATATATATATATATATCTGATGATGCAGTATGGTAGAAAAAGAGATACAAAGTGTTAAACAACATCTCTTGCTCACCTGTACTCGCTGTCCGGCAGCAGGTCCCTGATAATGTGGCAGGTTGCGTTTCCGGTGGTGATGATGTCGTCTCCCATTGAGATGCTGTAGGAGGTGATTTCTGCTCCATTACAGTGGGGCTCGTCCCAGGTGAGGGCCAGACAGGTGGAGGGGGAGAAGGACTCACTTTCTGTTGGGGTCGGAGGGAGGTCGAGCAGGTGAACTCCGGATACTACATCAGGGACTGCTGCAGGGGTCCGACACGTCACCAGATCACTGTAGGGGCCCGCCCCTGCCTGGTTCACTGCCTACGAACCGAATACAAGAAAAAACTGAAAAATGGCACCATGAGATCAAAAATTACAATTCTGTTATTTTTATAAATGATTTACTGGCGCAAGGGCAGGACAACATGTCACTCACATGAGATTACAATTAATAGCAAACCACAACCATCCAAACAATTCCAGATGGACAAAATCAAGTTCCGCCCTACATTTATTCTTGTTCGAGAAGCCGTTTTACTTTGATATACATCACAAATTAGGCAGGAAAAGACTATCACATCGGTTTCATGCTGACTTTAAACTTAAAAGTTATTAACCAGTTTTGCTGATTATCTTTTGAGCCATTTTTACAATCATGCATTTGGTTTGTCAAAATATTTGGAAGGACACAGAGTATTTTGGAGAGTACAACGAGAAATGAATTTTCTTCATTCTCGTGCTGATCAGATTGTTTTGCATCCACTACATAACAAACACAGTGATTCAGAGCCAATTAAATGTGAAGAGGAGCACTAAAAGGTCAGAACATTTTCAGATATAACAGCTCCAATCTAACATTTGAACCATATTACTGCTTATATATTGTTTAATCAACACAATTCACAGGTTTATTTTTGGTGCATTAAAACCAGTTTGCACAGAGACAATGATAATGTACAAACCAACGCATGTAGGCTGAGTTTAATACAATAAGTAAAAAAATATATATATTCATTGTAAACAGAGTGTTAATCCTCTTCATACTGCGTGATTAAGGTTTTACACTCTTCTTGTTTGTTTAATTATAATGCAAGCAGCGAGTGATGCATGCATTTTCAATGTGATTATGCTCAATTTTGAGCTTACTTAATTTCAGGAACAATTAGAATAATGTGTTTCCTTGAATAAGAACTTAGGAAGATGATTTATTCACAACTCATGTTACTGTGAACTATTGATTCATCACAAACTAAAATGTTCATTTTAGCAAGCAACTGCTAGACTAACATTTACAGTACTGTAAAAAAAAAAAAAGTATTTTCTTTGAAAACAGAAAATGTGAATAAAAAAAAAAATAAGATAAAAATTAGGGCTGTGGGCACGTTAACGCGTTATTATCGCTTTAACACATTTATTAACACCGACAATTTTTTTATCGCACATTAACGCAGTTTTTTTATTTATTATTATCTTAAAAAGTCCGTTGCTCACTGGCTCTGAATACACATAGGCCCACAGTCAAACCATGGGTCACAGGAAGGGTGGGATGTTGGTCAGCCAGGAAAATAACCATCCCAAACAAGCAGTGGAGGGAGGCTTCGCCAGGTTCTCTCATGTGAACAGAAAGGGAGACAGCGCTCCGCGAGTGAACGGCAGGCGCTCTATGGTTAGTAACCATGGCAACGGCTTCAATGCGCAGCTGCAGCCTTTTTAACTTAAATTAAAATTATACATAACTTTACCTGATAGGCCTGCGTTTAGTTTAGCAGGGATGCTCTGCCATGTGAATGTCCTGTTGATGTCCTGATAACTATTTAGATTCTAGAAACTCACAAACAGCGAGGATCAGTCTCTCTTCCAAAGATTTGTGCTGCTCGTTGTGTACAAAAAGTTCAAGACAATTCAACTTCGGCAGCGGGCGGGCGTGTGCGCACAACCGCAACAGTTTCACGGGAACGCACCCGCTTGTCGCTGCACCTTGTGCTCAACCACTTCACCTTACTCTAACAGGGAAACTTGCTACTGAACAGACACAGACTGTTTCTGCCGCTCCTTGATAAAAGATACCTGTTGATACCTGTTCAGAAAAAACCCAAGAAAACAAGACTCTGACAAATGATAGCGAAAAGCAAAAGCTTATTTAATACCTGTTTCACAGCACTAAATATCTTGAAACAAGCGGATAATTAAATATAAAACTATTTAAAAAATAAAAAATAAATAAAAATAAAGCAATTACAAATAAAGCGATTTAAAAAATAAAGAAATAAAATAAAAAAGCAATAAAAAAAATTATATAAAATAATATAACAATAATATAACATCATAAAATAAATACACTTTCTTTTTGGCTTTTTAAAAATTATATTAGTGTTTGAGCGCATGTGTCATGGTCCTAACAGATCATGAGCTACCTGTAGCCTGCAGCAGTAGTCTGTTGATGCCTCCAGGTTGGAGATTTGGAAGTAGGTTTCCAATCCACTGTAAACCATTTCAAGAGAGTCCAAATCACGTCCCCAGTCCAGCCGGTATTCAGAAATGTCTATCCCAGAGCTCTCGTTGTTCTGGGGATTGAGATCAGAGCAAGCGTTACACTCCAGGAAACGAGAGCAACAAACGCATATTCCCAGCAGTACCTGCTTGACACGGTTTCATCAGGACAAACACAAGAGAGCCAATGCATCATGCGCACCAATAATAAATGAAACAACCTCTCAAGACAGCAAACAGAATGCAAATAACTGAAAGCTTTGTCATTCAGGAGACATCAAGGATTAAAATCACATTCATTTTCATTGTGAACAAAACCTTAAAGGCCCTTTGTCATGAAAAGCAAGTGTCTTTTGAGAAGAAGTGATAGAAGTGAAGAAAACATTTTGCGTGGACACAATCTGCCAACTTCTCTGGCAAGAATCAATCTTCAACACTTTTTGGGTGATCGATGATGTTATTATAATGAACTTTCGAGTTTGGATGGAGTTTCTGTACCAGTATTGAGCACATATTCTTGTAATTCAAAACATTTTTTCTTTCTAGGAGTCCCAAAGCCAACGATTGCTTCTGAAAATTGATTTCTTTCTCAACGCAGCAGAAAATCACTCCGACAATTTTATCATTTGACAGTACGATTCATCATTTACTGCATTGTATACAGTGTGAATGGCTCTTGCAGACTCACCTCCCAGGTCACATCAGCACAAGTGTGTGATGTCACATTGATGGCAGGGGGACTGCATTGTCCTGGGGGCCCAGCGGCAGTGCTTATTTCCACAGATTCAGAGTAAGGTCCATACTGGAAAAAAGGAGAGAGAGAAAGTGGATGAGATTAAGAGCGTTTTAGCTATCTCAAAGGTAATGAATAGCCTGGGTTCTACAATAAGGAGGGAAATCTGTTATTTCTGTGGCAGGTAAACCCAAAGCGTTAAACTCTTTTAGGCATCTATCTTCAGTGATGGCTGAATTAGCTTTCTTAATATCTTTGCCGAGGCAGACAGCATGTGATGTGGAGGGTTTGTTATAAAAGGAGGATTTCAAGTAAGAGAGGAAAAACAACTGGAGAGCTGAATTTTATCTGATTTGGACAAAATTATAGCTGTTTGAGATACAATTTGTCCTGACTCATTGCTTATGAAAGAGAATAAAAGCTAAAATACTTGCCAAGTTCCCTTCACTAAAAATATATACTATTTATATATAGATCGATTAGACAGACAGACAGATAGATAGATGGATAGATAGATAGATAGATAGATAGATAGATAGATAGATAGATACAAATAATCCAGCAAAAACTATTTCATAAGGGCCAAGAACTTGTTATTTTGCATAAAAAAAAATAAAAAAAAGGTGTATCTGTCTCAGTGTTATTTTAGTATTTTTTATAAACTATTATAGTATTTATTAATATTTGGAATTAGCTTTTATTTTTATATTTTTCATTTAAAATTTTAGTTTAGATTTTAGTCATTTTGTCATGTGTTTTTGTGTACAGGGTGACTTACCCCAACACTGTTGACTGCACGAACTTGGAACCTGTAGGTAGTGCCAGGGAGCAAATTACCCACAGTGCACTCTGTTTTAGATCCACGGTACACCTCCGCCGGCTCTGAAGCTTCCTCTATTGCACACATCTCCAAGCTAAACTCCACACCTTCACTCTCTTCACCACATACAGGACCATCTGGAGAAACGAAGAATTAAAAGTGTGGGGGAGAAATATAGAGACAGGGACAATAAGAAATAATTTAAAAGTGCAAAAGTCAAATCATGATCCATCACTCCAGTCCAATATACATGACCACAACGTTAGGACTGTTTCACACATTCTAAGTGGCACATATTAGTTTTGGTGGCCATATTAACAGGTTATAGAAAAAGTCCTGAGCTTATTTAGAAGCCTCATAATAATAATTCATTAAAAATATATGAAAAAAATTGTGACTTGGGAGGATAATTAATAAAAGTGTATATTGCAAAACAAATGATAATAATAACAATAATAATTCATAAATGCCTCACAATAATCCCCCCAAAAAATTGTGAAGGAGTTGACCAGGCATTTTATGAATTATTATCATGAATACCTCATAGAAATGTACATGGCAAAAAAATAAAAATAATACTTTAATTAATGCCTCATACTAATAATTCAAAAAATCGTGACCTGGGAGGTGTTGACAAGAAAAATGTAATGAATAATTAAAATAATTAATAAAATAATTATAATTAATAAAAGCCTATAATTGCAGAACATAAAAAATATATACATATAATTTGAAATGAATAATCGGAATGATAATAATAATTATAATAACTATTATTATTACTACTATTATTTTTAAATGTTTTGCATTATTGTATTTCAACTATTGTTAAAAAATCTGGCTTGATACAAGTTACACAGGCAGACTAAAGATAACTTATGGAATGTAAATTATTTACCTTCCTTTTCCTCTTGTAAATGACAAATCAAATGTGTAAGAATTCACACACCCAATAACATTTTTATTGCCATTATTATGAGAGACTATTATTTTCTGTATAGAGACACAGTTCTAAAACGCTGTTGGTGTGAAACCACAATGCAATCCTACTGTCGTTACGCTCACGACACGTCCCCAAGACACATGACTTGATGATCTCAGAAGTCATCCATCTACAACCAGCCTCTCAAAACCAAAACAAGATCTCAGTTCCCTCTACAACTAACTGGCTACAGGAAGGAGCCGATCAATCGCAGTGATGGAGAACATGCAGGAAAGCTCACGCCTGATGTCCGAGCTCTAAGAGTCAGCATGGATGCCTGAAATCAGCACTGACATTTCACAGTTATTTATAGATGGTGTTCAGCCTCTTAAATGAGCCCACCTTCACTCAAAAACAGTGAGTCAGGGGTATTATCGCTAACAAACAACTGCATTATACTTCTAGCTCTCTCAAACACACACGCATGAATGCAAACACAGACCCACACTAAATAGGGTTATGCAATGTGTGAACAACACAAAAAGTAGATACAAAGCTCTGTTGATCCAAGTGCATTCTGGGTAATTTGGACTTCTATAACTATAAACACACTGCATATTTCACCAGTTGACCTGGCAACAAACATAATTCGTCTAAAAGCACACGTGTCACTTTAACTTGTTTTTAACTTCAATTTCTCTTTCCAAATGGATGGCCACAAATGCTAAACTATTTTTAGATAATCTGTTTGTTTCATTGAGACTTTAAGAGGAGAAGAAAAGAATAATGGATATTAGGGCTGGGTATTGACACAAATTTCACAATTCGATTACGATTCGATTCGATTCAATATTGATTATGTTGGATATCAGGTACAATACATGGCACATTTTTTCAAGGAAAACAAATCTCTTAACTAATGCTGTAAACTATGGGAGTCAGTTGTAGCCTATAGGCTCCATTAGCCTATAATATTGAAGGTAAAAATTAACTGATTTGTAGCTATACAAACACTTAAATTACACTTATTAATTTTTATAATAAGAAAGTTATATGAAATATAAAAATTGAAATGGTGGCTGTCATAAAAACTTGCCAGATTTAATCAAACATGCATTAAATATTGAAGAACATTACAAATTATAATGAATATGTAATCTGGTGCATATGTGTAGCAAAATTCTCCTCTGTAGAGTTAATTTTTCTAGCTGACTAACTGAGTTTATGGTCACTGGATATGGTTTTTCTGAGGTAAATGTGACGTCACATGACATTGTTTACAAGCTGTTTAACTAACGTCTTTCCACGGATGAAACACTGATTGAGTGATTCCATGTGACATGATATGGATTTCGATGAGATCCAGAGCGATCTCACGCCCGCCACAGCGACAAAACGCTATTTATGTTTTTGAATTCCGTAAGAAAATGGACATGATTCGAAATTTGAGACTTTATTTCATAATAATAGTCACAAAGCACAAAGATTATTGATGCACGCTATAATGTTCCATTCATTCATCAAATGAAAACAGGATGACTAATCGATTCTTGAGATTTAAGAATCGATATCGGTTCGTAAAACTCAGAATCGATTAATATCGAGAAATCGATATTTTTTACCCAGCCCTAATGGATATCAAAAGAAAAAATAAGAGCCTCACCCCACTGCAAAGTCAGCTCCTTGTGTTTGACATCACCCATGATCCTTGGGGGTCGACAGCGGCCAGGGGGCGGAATATGAGTGTGCACCGTCAAGTCATCTGAGCACTGCACAACCAATACAACGAGTCAATGTACAACACAAGGAGTACAATGAGATCTTATGAATCAGCCAGGAAAATCAGTAAATGCACTTTGGTTCTCATACCTGGCTTTGTCCGCCCACATCGACACAGCTGAGTCTCAGGGAGTAGCTTGTTGCTGGTTTTACATCCTCACACAAATGTTTCCTCTCTGGTCCTCTATAGCGAGTCACCCACTGCCTCTCTGCTGAACAAACACAGATTCATACATATCTATCTCAGTGAACCGGTCCAAAACATAATCACAGGCATATTTCACATCAAAATCAAAATTATATTATTGAAATAAAATGACTGTTCAAAAGTCTGGAGTCAGTAAGAATGTTTTTAAGAAGTATGAATTCAATTGATAAAATAATTAGGCAATTAATTATGTTCTTATATATATTAATAAAAGAAATCCTAAAAAAATGTATCACAGTTTCTACAAAAATATTAAGCAGCACAACTCTTTTCAACATTGATTATAAGAAATGTTTCTTGAGCATCAAATCAGCATGTTAGAAAGATTTCTGAAGGATCATTTGACACTGTAGACTGGAGTAATGATGCTAAAAATTCAACTTTGCATCACAGGAATAATTTAATTTGAAATATTTAATACAAATATATATATATATATATATATATATCAATATTTAATATATAAATTAAGCACATGTACCACCTCAATTCGCATTACAATAAAGAAAATAACTTCTAAAAAAATAATGTGAAAGAATAATGTATTCTTTAAAACGTAAAATCCATAATTAAAAAAATAAAATGAAAATTGAAATAAAAAAAGTTTTAAATATGAACACATTTAAATTTAAAATAAAGTGTTTACAACTATAATGTTCTTTCATTTTTGGGATAATGTGACGTGGACATGTCACTTGTCAGATTCACCCGTTTGCAATCAGAAATACCTTCAGAATTCCCTTCTGATATCTCCAGGACGTAAGTCAAGTCTCCAGATCCACCATCATCTTGTGGAGGTTCTGATTTAATTATATAAAACGGTGACGGTTAGAATATAATGATAAATGGACAATAAAAAAAAAAGCCTGTGTGAAACATAAAATGATTATGCTTTCCTACCCCACGCCACACAGAAGCTGTGATATGTGACTGCGTTTACTGCAGGATTCACAGGCGGTCCAGGTCTGTCTGGGGTGGTCTTACACACAAGCAGAGAGCTCGGTGCACTGCGCCACTCACCGCTGCAAGTGATGAGCTGTAGAGGACACAGTAAAGAAGATCACACAAGGGGAAGCATGTCTGCAGTATATGTACAGATCTACACACTACCGTTCAAAAGTTTGGGATCAGAAAATGTTAATTAATGAACACCTTTAAGGATGCATTAAATTGATCAAAAATGTTACAAAATAATCCTATTTCAAATAAATGTTCTGCTCTTTTAAAACTTCTATTTATAAAAGAATCCACAAAAAAAATGTAAGTAGCACAGCTGTTTTCAACATCGATGATAATAATAAGAAATGTTTTTTGAGCAGCAAATCAGCATATAAGAATGATTTCTGAAGGATCATGTGACACTGAAGACTGGAGTATGTATGCTAAAAAATCAGCTTTGCCATCACAGGAATAAATGACATTTTAAAATGTATTAAATAGAAAAAAATATAATATAAATTGCAGCCAAATGTATTACTGATTAAAAATGCAGAAGATCTATCTTTTTATACTGTATTCAGGCTTCTAGTATTTCATTCCAAACAGCTCTGAGTGACTTCAGACGACATCACTGAAAAGCAGACTACCAAGGTGACGTTTGAGGATTTCAGGACACACTTGTTTTGTGTACTAGACAACACCATTTTTGTGTCCCAATCTCCTACAGCATCGCAGGGAGCAGCATTTAAAATCTTGCCTGAAGTACCTTTCTCCCCTGATAATAACGCAGTGTTCTCTGCCTTCTCAGAGATTAGAGTAAAAGCCTTTTACACGCCACACCACAGGAAATCAATTCACCTTCCCCCAACAACAGCTGCTAGATCTGAGAAACCGCTCCAGGTTAGCGGACAAACTAAAGTTCATTAGATTATCGCTAATTGCCTGATTAGTGAAGGAGGAAATGAAGCAAAAGTGCTTGAGGAACGCGTGATTTTCTAGAACCCTTAACACATCCATGGATGGTTTGTTTACATGCATATGGTTGTGTATGTGAACAAAAGAAATCATGAAATAAATCTCATGTTTTCGGTGCTGGAAAATTCGTCACTCACCCTGAATTTGTACTGCGTGTTCCTTCTTAGGGACTCCAACTTACAGTTCAGCTCCAAACCGCTGTAAACTTCCTGGAAGTTCAGTCCCTGCCAAAAACACATTGTTCTTTAGGTGTCAAGAAGTGAAGTATGGAACAATTATTTCCAGCTAGTCCCACCCCAAACTAACACCACAATTTGTTTTTATCAAACCAATGCCTCTTATTTTTCAATACCTTCCCTCCAATCTGGTATGTAACACTTCTGTTTACAATCCAATCAAATGATAGACAAAATAAAGCGGAGTCCTACATTTTTTCTTGATTAATATACACTCTGAAATATGTCCAAATACAAAGGTATAATAGGTAGCAGATGTTGTTGCATGTTTCATGACATTAAACTGGGATAAAAATATTTTATTATTAATACTATATAAATTATATAAAAATCTGTGAATTCTATAATTAATGTTATATAATTATACAATTAAAACTATATATTAAAATGTAATTGAAAATCATAGAATAAGCCTATTTCCTAACAAATTTGTGGTTTAAATCTATTAAAAATGGCAAGATCCTACAATTACTCTGCATGATAAAAAATATTATGTGCATGAAATCTCGCTCAAATATTTGGATGGCGCATCAGTCTGCTGTGTTAAACAAAGGCATTAGTCATGGATCCAGAAGAGTCGATTTACCCTGACAACTGTGGGCAAAGGTGACCAGTGAGGTAGGAAAAACAGCTTATAGACTTATATCTATTAGCGGTCATATTCCCACAACACTGAGAAAACCTATTTGTGGTGAAAATGAAGGCAACAGAAAGCCGTAATAACTACTGCACAAGGGGGATTATGTGATGCGTATGGTAGGGCTGAGTTCAACACCTTGGTCTCATCCTGCATCTCCAGGGTGTACGTGACCACCTCCTCAGCGCTGCAGCTGTTTGGTCGAGTCCACTCCAGCTTAACCCAGGACGGACCTGCCTTTATCAGCCGTGGAGGCAAGGAAATCTGTGGGAGACTTCCTGTGGTGTAGAAGACGACTTCTGTGCTGAACCCACTGGAGAAAAAGAAAACAGTAAACAGTAATAAATCCCATCCTTTCCCATCCTATAAAGATTATATGACATATCCGTGTCTCATCAAAGCGTGCGAGAAGCACAAAGTTATAAATTGTTTAGACTTTTTCCCCTGGGAAAACAACACTCACAGTGAGTACGAGTAGTGAGGAGAATTTTCTCATTTACCACGCCATTAAACACAAGGACACCACAGGGCTAAAATTCTATTAACTGCATACAACCAAAAGGACATATGCTGGTGGGTTATATTTATAAAAATTGTTTTACAGTATGATTTATTGCAAAAAATAAATAGATAAATAAAAACCATACAAAATTTCACCTAAACCTCGGAGATAACCAGAAAAATAAATAACTCAGAAATAAGAACTATGGCAGTATCATGATAAATAGTAGTATCAGATGGAAATATTTCTATATTGCTGATATAGATCATTATATTCATTTACCATAGATTTTTTGATAGTACTCCAAGGTACTTCAAAGAACAACGGAATTATCCTAATAAATATAAAAAACACATGGTGTGTATTACTGGGTATAAAATAATAATAATAATAATAATAATAAAATAAAAATAAATTAACCAGTAATCCATGTTTTATTATTTTATTAATATATATATATTTTTTGTCAATGACATACAGACAAATAAACAAACCTGGTGCCAATGTCATTTAGCGCTGCCACTCGAAACGTGTACCCGACAGCAGGGCACAACCTCATTACTTTGCAGTGTCGCTGGTGTCCGACGTAATATTCGCGGAAAATGCTGTTCTTTTTCCCCTGAAAAAGCAACGAGGATAAAACGATGCAGTTAGAAATGACAAATAGGATGGCACGTATAAAATAAACATCTTAAAACAAGCAGAAAAGACTGAAAAGACCAGCAGCAGCCATACGCTGTGTCAGAACAGAACACTCCTGACATGAAAAGAACAACAAAAACAAAACTGCTGCTGGAAGCTGTGCTAATTGTCACAACAACAGGAGCCAGAATATAATTAAAGTTAAAAGGCAGAGGTATTCAGAATGGATTCTGCGGGGAGGAACCGCTGCCAGCCACAGCTGAGGAGTTTTAATGAACTCTTATTGAGCCAGAAAAGCTTTGAGTAAATGAAAATAAAGTAGACTGCGTCTGTGGCGTTAAGCAGAACAGTCGGTTAAAGTATTAGTTCACCTCAAAATGAAAATGTCCTGATCATTTACTCACTCCAATGCCATCCAAGATGTTCATGTATTTCTTTCTTCAGTGGAAAAGAAATTAAGTTTTTTGAGGAAAACATTTCAGGATTTTTCTCCACACAATGGACGGTAACCAAATTGTTGAAGTCCAAATGCATCAATGCAGTTTCAAAGGGCTCTGCACGATCCCAGCTGAGGAATAGGGTCTTATCTAGCGAAAAGATCGGTCATTTTCTAAATAGAAATAATTTATATACTTTAACCACAATTGTTCATCTTGTGCTGATCTGCGACGCGCTAGGCATTACATAATCACGTTGGAAAGGTCACGCTGGACGTAGGCAGAAGTAACGCCCCATTGTTTTAAACATCTAGGATACACACACGAAAGGACCATTTGAAACAATAAACTGACACAAAGACAGTTCCTTCTCCACACTTATAAACAATGGGGCGGTACTTCCGCCTACGTCCAGCGTGACCTTTCCAACGTGATTACGTAATGCCTGGCACGTCGCAGACAAGCACAAGACGAACAATTGTGGTTAAAAAGTATATACATTTTTTTTTTTTTTTTTATATTATTATTAAAGCCCTTTGAAACTGCATTGATTTGGACTTCAACAATTTGGTTACCGTTGAAGTCCATTGTGTGGAGAAAAATCCTGAAATGTTTTCCTCAAAAAACTTAATTTCTTTTCCACTGAAGAAAGAAAGACATGAACATCTTGGATGGCATTGGGGTGAGTAAATTATCAGGAAATTTTCATTTTGAGGTGAACTAATCCTTTAAATTGAGAGAGAGAGAGAGAGAGAGAGAGAGAGAGAGAGAGAGAGAGAGAGAGAGAGAGAGAGAGAGAGAGAGAGAGAGAGAGAGAGAGAGAGAGAGAGAGAGAGAGAGAGAGAGAGAGAGAGAGAGAGAGAGAGAGAGAGAGAGAGAGGAGAGAGAGAGAGAGAGAGAGAGAGAGAGAGAGAGAGAGAGAGAATCAACTGAAATGGGTTGAGGGATAGGTGACACTCAGGATTTTACCAAATTAATTAAACACAGGTGATGTGGTACATACCTCATCCCATTCTAGAACATAATTGGTGATTTTTTGAGCCGTTGTCCATAGGGGGCTGCAATTAAAAAAGAGAAATTACAAAAAAAGTTATACACAGTATACACTATCATTCAAAAGTTTGAGGTTGGTAAGAGTTTAAAAATGTTTTTGAAAGAAGTCTTTTACATTATGCACACCAAGGATGCATTTTATTTGATCTAAATATTATATATAATTATATATTATCAATTAAACAATATAACAAAATAAGTCAATATTGACGAAGAGGTCATACATAACTGTGGAGGCATTACTTGGCATGATAAGCAACACTAATGGTCAATGATCAATAAAATAACTACTAAATTAATAATTATATTTATAATAATAATCAGGATCAATAATCAGGACTATTCCACCATCAAGTAATAAAGTTCAACAAGCCCAACAATTAAAGTTTTAATGGTTTGTAGCAACTCAGCACAATAATACAGAACGTACCTTCCACTGTAATGTGAGGGGAGCTCTTGGTGCGATGGGACAGTCTGGGGGGTAGAGGGGTTCAGGAGGGGCACTCTGTGTAGTGAAGGCCCTCGCATCCGAACTGGGACCCTTGACAGAGTTACACACCGTGCTTTACTCTGTAAAACACGTGGTGAGAATTTCCAAAAGAGGACTAGAGTAATTAATCATGTTCAACTAATACACAGAAAACGGCTATTGCCAATTTAAATGAATCATTTAGTGATAACAACGAATGTATTAAAATGCTGCATCCACTGTAATTACAAGAAAAACGCTTTGTGCCACTCCGCCCTTTAGATCCAGGAAATTCACATTTAAATACAAATCCATTTTTTTCACATTCATTATCTTTAATTTTACTCTTGTTAATCAGACCATTCATCTCTCTTCAGCACTCGAATGAAGTTCAAAGTGCTCGGGTTAATGGAGCGTTTCATCTCATTTGTACGTCGTTCAGTTAAAAGTGTGTGCTAGATTAATAAATGCAAATATGAAACACTATTCTTACGGATGTGATAGTCTGTGGCTGGTCTGAGGTCAGTGAGTGTATACTGGAGTTCCTCACCACTGAAAAAAAAGATAGACTAAGAGTGACAATCTGTGTGTGAGAGATGGATGGATGAGAGATGGATGAAGCATCTGTAAAACCTCCTTCAGCTTTCAAATCAATTCATAATAGCTTTATGATTTGCTTTCTGGGGACACAAAAAAAAAAAGAAAGCTGTAGATGTACATAATGAAATGTACATAATGGTTTGAATGAATGATTCAATGACTCACACATAAAGACTCGTTTCATTACTGGATGAATCAGCGTCTTTGAATGAAACGATAGTGTGAGTTTGTGCAGCTGTTTAATACCCATGACAGCTGCTTTCTCTGGGGTTCAGCGGCAGCGCAAATGAACATTTGAATGTTGTAACTTTTCAAAGGTTTGATAGACCGATCAAATTGTTGTAATTTAGAATAAGATCATGAGGGGGTTTGAAAAACCTAAAACTGCGATCTTTAAACGATTAATCGTGCAGATCTAATAAACCAGTCAATCAAAAAAAAATTTGTCAAGAGTGAAGTGCAGTACACATGATGTTAAACAAGGGCCTTACCTGTACACAACCTTGTATTTCCCTTCACGGCCCTTGTCCTTGAGCTGTAGCTCGTAACTACAGGAAGGGACCCGTCCAGATGATCCCGATAAGAAAACAGAAGTCCACGACACAAGTGCGGAGTGGGACTGTACATTAGACACCTGAGGAGCCAAGACACATTCAAGTTTCATTGTAAAGCAAAACACTTGAAATTGAGTTTAGTTGCATTGTAACATATTCATGATAAAAAAAGTGCAAATCATTTTTTTTAATGTTTACTTAAAAAGAGTTGTGACAACAAGTCTGAAACATCTTTTTTAGAAAAGAGCCTGGAAGATTTAAAGTACAAAATAAAAAATTCTAATTTCGAATTATTTATGATGTAAGGTACATCAATAAATCGAGGCAGCTGTAAATAGGAGTTAATTTGGGTGCCAAGGCTACTGTAGGCTCATCTTCAGAGAATGAAGCATCAGTCAGAACACCGTACAGCTGACGTCCTTCACAGCTCAGAGCGGAGAGACTCTTTATTCACAAAACAAAAAACATCTGCGTCTGAAGAGGCTTCAGCCATGACAAACCAGGACTATTTACCCAATACTTTCCCTTTTGCATTCAAATTAAGTGATTTAGTATTAAAGCAGAACAACAAAAGCGGATTACCTAGTTATCATCTTGATAACACACAAAAAAAAGACACTTAAATAGAAAAACGGTACATGTTTAGTGGCTCCAAAAATGATTTGGAGACTCAATCTACACTAAATAAAACACAATCTCAAAGATATAAAACAAATATTATATAACATATTTTATCTAAAAAAAAAATAACAGTATGTATGTATGTATGCATGTGTGTATATATATATATAAAATAAATTAATTATGTATACATAAATCTCAAATAAAAGATATAGAATCAGGTTGATACTTTGATTTATTTTCTTCACATGCTAACATTCTCGTGGCGTACTCACTATAGAGGCACATTGCTGTCAGTTGTTTACTTCAGGCTGCTTTTCTTTCTTTCTTTTTTTTCTACAGCGTGTTTTTGCAGGGGTCAAATTGACCTTGAACTAATACATTTACACAGAATTAGGGGTTTTCAGGACCCCGAGTCATTTTTGCAAATTCTTTTTTAAATACCTGCTCCCAAGGTGGATATAGATATATATATATATATATATATATATATATATATATATATATATATATATATATATATATTATATTATATATATATATATATATATATATATATATATATATATATATAAAAGTCACTTTGCCTCAAGATCAAACAGGTTTGGTTCATCACATCTATGAATAGGTTTCACTAACATTTGAAAACAAGTCCAAATGCTTTCTGATCTTTATTTTGAACAGTATTTTTAGTGTTTCATCATTTAAAACCTTACAAAACCTTATTGTGCTTGTGCTATAACTTGTGACATTCATACATTTTAAATACTTTGGGCCCCTGTATATTACCGTCACATTTTGAAGCTTGAATGCACATTTAATGGCGTTTCTACTGACAGAAAGTGATGAAGATTATGAAATGAGGTAGCAAGAGAGGTGAACCCTTAAGTAATTCATTAACTGCTGCTGCCCCCTTGTGAACGTAAACGGAAGTGCTTCATTCTAACCACCTCTAGACAATTACAATCCTTACATTTCAAGCGTTATGTTGTTGTGCAGGTAGCAAGGGTGTTCTGGATGGTTGCTAGGTGGTTGCCCACCTTTTGACAATCTGATCCCAGGTTATTACTCAAGTCAAGTTTTTATAAACCAATTTTATCGTCCACCACACAAAAACCATACTATCAACTGCTAAGAAAGCAAACAGAACAACTCTCCTCAAGGCGCATGATTTGAACCAACAGAAACAACAAATACTGAACAAAACTTCAATTTCTGCATTTCTTAGCTTGTATCCTAATCTAGTTGTCTAATAAACCTGGAATTGTATATTATAAATTTTGCTTTGTCTTTGACAAATTGTTTTGTTCCTCTTTTGTAACTCCCTTAGGATAGAAGCGTCTGCTAAATGGGTAAATGTAAATCATAATACTTAGGATCATGTTCATATTTCTAATACGAAGCACTTGGCAAGCAATAACATATTTAGAGTGGAGCCATAATCCTGCAGGACAAATAAAACAATCACGGGCAAAAGCGTGAAATTATGATATTAAAGCTTTTCGATTTGCTGCACAAGAGGAGATTTGTGACATGGTTTGAATCACCCACCTGGGGCTTGTCCATTCCTGATGGCACAGCCTGAACTCGTCTCGTGTCCACATCATGATCTGCACAGAAAAGAGATTAAATATAGCCAGCCGTCTCCTATCAGTCATAAATCAGAGTTTGTGTGTGCCTGTAACATCTTCATGCTTGTTTGGAAAGAGAAAGAAACACAAAGAACATCAATTCGGTATCAGCAGACAGAGACACAGATCTGGGGCATTAGAGACGTCCTGATGGATGGAGCTGTCGGAGCGGGCCTGCGGCGGGAAGGGAAGTGGTTGTTGGGCGACTGAGGATCATAGGTCTGGCTCTTAAGGGGCCCAAGGGGCTCCTGCAATGAGTCATCATCACTGCGATGAAGTCATGGCGACATGACCCAACACTGACCTCTATGGTTTCCCCCCCAACAAGATGAGAAATGAGAGATTCCACTCCATGTATGGATTTAAAATGAATCAAAATAGATCAAAGATTCAAATAAAGAGTCACGACAGTGTTGGAAAACAATTGGACAATAATTGTTTTCCAACTTAACAGAAATTAAGTTGGAAAACAAAAAAATACATTTTTCAGTAGAAAGCTCACAAACGTCACAACTTTTTTGTAATATAGTACTGCACATGTCTACCAATGGTGTGTGTACAAAAGTGATTCATTTTGCTAAATGGTTTATTTGAATGCACTTTTTAAATAAGACAATTCAATGATTAATTTTCCTGGACTGATTAATTTCAGTAAGATACTTTAAAAGTTTAAAGTAAAATAATAATAATAATAATATTATAATATATATATATTATTTAAGTACGTTTAAATATTTGTAAAAAAACAACCCAAAACTTTTAAACGTTTCTGTATCTAGCTACCTTTTCCAAATGATAGCTTGACTGCACCTAGTTTATGTGTATTAGTAGTTTGTTAAAAAGCTACAGCTTCAAAATCCTGAACACCGCTGGGAATGAAGGCCAAGTCTAAACTTCTGACGTTACACATTTCAGCCAGATTTCAGCCTCTTCTCAGACACTCTTCACAGGGACCGCTCATCTTCCCCTCTTGTTTTAACTTGCAGCGCCCTTTGCCTGTGCATTTTAACACGGTCCAGCCTTGTGCTATCACTTCAGACAGGAAAAGATCTGCATCTCATTATGCGCTGTGGTTTTGCCACAGACAGACTACAGACACACACACTCTCTCTCTCTCTCTCTAACACACACAGACACAGAGGCATAGGAACCAAAGGTTCGCAAGAACAAAGACCAGGGTAAGATAAGACATTAAAGAACACAGAGGAAAACAGTGAGACAGAGTGAGCTGCTTTCAAAAGGAATGATGAAAGAAAAGGAAATTATGATATGGAGAATATGGAAACAACTGCATCTGACGCAACATGTGTTGCACATTCATCTACCATCTGCTTGGAATCCTCAGCTATGTGGAATTCTCAATGAAATACAAGCTTACTGTAAACTACATACTTCAAATGAATACTGTATACTAAGGTTGGGGATCAAGAACCGGTTCTTCCTCAGAACAGCGTGTTCTGATTTGCCACAGCATCTACAGCATTTACTAATATATTATTATATCAGGAACCGCTAGAATATAAAATAAATGTATAAAATAAATATATAAAAATTATATAAAATTAGATTTTAATGTATAAAATTTCAGATAAATGTTATATATATATATATATATATATATATTATATATATATATATATATATATATATATATATTATTATTTTTATTATTTTTTAACTTCTTACCTTCCAGGTCAATCAATTAGCCAAGAAAGAAATTTAAATATATATATATGGGGGGTAACAGACACTGCAGCGGAAGGTTAAGTTGATCGCATTGCTTTGTGGATACAATATTTGCAGTGTGCTCTGGTTGTATATTGCATATTTTAGAAAAATGTAGTAGGTTATCATTAGTATTGAAAATATGCATATGTCGAAATCATTCTAATATGCTGATTTGGTGCTCAAGTAAAATTTCTTACTATTATCTATGTTGAAACCAGTTGTGTTGCTTAATTATTGTTGTGAAAACTGTGATACATGTTTTTCAGGACTCTTTGCACAGAAAGATCAAAAGAACAGCATTTATTTGAAATATAAAATATAGATATTTTACTAAATATATTTATTTGAAATATCTTTTGTAGCATTATAAATGTCGTCATTGAAACTTTTGGTCAATTTAATGTAACTTTTTTGATCAGAAGTATTAATTTCTTTCAGAAAGAAAAAAATCCTACTTTTGAACATTCCAAACACAGCCTCTATGCCATTCAAGTGACTGACTGCATTTCACCAGAAGTGGGCACTCTTCCATATTCCTACTTGCTTCCTGTACTATCAACTGTTTATCCAATGTGTATGTGTGTCACACCACAGAGTAAGTGCTGACTGATATAAAAGCTAAAAAATAAAGGCTTGGAGGTAAATACCCATAATGCTTCATAGAAATTAGGCTTTAAAGTGAACAGATGTGGACAAGATTGTTGACTCATCTTGAAGAGTCAGCAACTCTGACTGCTGTTATTTGAGTCCAGCTGACACTGGAAATATCCTGTTTTTGCTCTCAGCTGTTTCCACACATATGAAAATACAACAGAGACATGAGAACAAAATCAACAAGAAGTCTCTTAATTTAGACATCTACTTAGCCCACCTTGTGGCTCGGTGTCTGTGTGTTTGGGGCTTCCTCTGGCTCTTCGATCTGGCCTCTTGTTGCCAGGGCTTCCTCCTCCTCCTCCTCCTCCTCCTCCAGAGCTGCTGTGGCTCTTTCCATGGCCGTTCGCTGTGGTTGTGCAGGCCGTGCTGTTCTTGTAGCTGCTGGAAAGCGAGCTGGACACCTGACTTAGACCTGTACGCTCCACTGGTTGTTTGAGCTTCTTGGGTGGAGGTTTACAGTACTCCTCATGACCCATGAAAGTGGAGACGTTATACAGCGGGATGATCTCTGAGATGAGTAAAAAAAAATTATAATTACACTACAGAAAGTACAAAGCAATTGACACAAAGTAAAAGTGAAAATGTTAAACAAATCAACATGTATTTATATAAAATATATATTTAATATTACTAATATATTTTAGATTGAATATACAATTTATATTCTAGTCTACAAAACTAATTTAAGTGTTGTATACATGAGCACAAAAATGTTAAATTAATCATCTTATATTTTAGCTTAATTCTGCAATTTTAATTTACATTAAATATATTATATAATATACATTTCATATTCAGCGCAAAATGTATATTAGTCCACAAAACTAATTTTGTGCAGCAATGTATATGCATATGGCAAATAAATAAGTTAAATAAATCATCTTATACATAAATAATATTAAATAATTATATACACACACATATATATATATATTTAAAAAAAAAATTAAATTTTTTTTTTTTTTAATTAAGGTAGAATGTAATTTGGATTTATTATTAAAATTAAGTTTTGTAGACTAGAAAATAAATTGTATATTGAATGTAATTATATATATATATATATATACACACACACAATATAAATGATTTACTAAACTAATTTTGTCCAGGATTGTATACGCACAAAACCTAAACTAAAACACTATTATATTTTAGTTTATTAAATTGACATTTTAGTTTAGTAAAGAAATGCATATTTTATATATTACAATATTTTATATAAAATATAAATATTTTTATCATTTAAATTTTTAATTTTAAGTAAATTTATATTAAATTTACAACAAGAGAGAAACATCAAGCATGTTTAAACTTTTCATTCATAATGTATCTTTGGATTGGCTGTGTTTTATAGCTTTGTGTGGTACTTTGCTTTCATGTTGAGCCAGAATTGGACAGTGTTATGATTCATTATAAAGACATGGTTGCCCATCCTCACTGAAGTATGTGTTTAAATAGCAGACTAAAAGTGTCCTGGTCTATTCAGTTATGGACAATGAAGCTTTACCTTCCGGGTAGATGGGGGGCAGTCGATGCTGATAGAACTGGTGTGGGGACACATCACCGGGGCTGACGGGAGGGTAGTATGACGTATGCGAGGCTGGAATAAAGTGTGGGTGCGTCAGGTATGGAGGGTGAATGTGGTGGCTCGGGGACAGAGCCGGAGAGTAACTGTGGGGGAAACATTCAGAATGAGGTGTCACCACAACCCTCCGCACGCCCGTATTGTCCTCCAGAACCTGAAAATACAAACATGCACAGACGTCAAGCCAAACAATTCCCAACATCACAGGCTCTCTGATGTCAGCCATTAGTAGCCCAACCCAACACACTCTCTGGATATAATGTGCCAACAGTTGCAACCACAGACGTAACGTGCCACTTTAAACAAAGGGCAGGAATGCAAAAATAAACAAAGCCTTCTAATGGAACGGCTATCAAATACATTCCAGTGAAGGAAAGCATGCATGGAAGACGCTTACAGGAATCACAGATCTGCTGGTACAGTTCACATGGGAGAAATCATCCCACTGACAGCCACTTCTAACCCTGGGTGATCCTGAAGTCAGATTGGTCACCCAGGGTTAGAAAGTGAGGTCAGTGACGACAGCAGAAACCAAACCAAAGTGCTCAGTTATGCTTATACTGGCGGAAAGAACTTAAGATCTGCAGGGCCTTCTGGAAAATCAATATGTTCTAGATTCAAAGAGTAAAATATATATGCTTTAATATTAAAACATCCCCCTCTGAAGTTTCTAGTTTGTAAATTGATACAATGTGCATTTAAGTGATTAAATGACTGAAGATGAAGTAATGAGTGTTTTGTGGTGAGCCCTAGCTATTCCTCATCAACAGAACACATGTAAACTGTACAGTCAACATTCATAATTAAAAATGATGCCCAAATCCAATTAGCTTTCCCACCTTAAACCAAAGGGTTTGTCCAGAGAGAAATACTGACATTTTGGAAAAACATGTAACATTCATTCATTAATATTATTAAACATAAATCTTGAATTTTAAATGACAAAACACTGAAACTTATACTACACAACTCAAGCATTTCTGGACAGGTAATTCACTCATAAACGGTACCAATAGTACCAATAATAACAAGATGATTAATGCGTGTACTGTAAATGACGTACAATACCAATCAAAAGTTCACAAAGGGGTCAGTAAGCAATTAATACTTTTATTCAGCAAGGATTCATTAAATTGAACAAAAGTGATTTCTATTCAAATAAATGCTGTTCTTTTGAACTTTCTATTTATCAAAGAATCCAGAAAATGTATCATGGTTTCCATGATAAGTTTAAGCAGCACAACTGTTTTCAACATTGCTAATAAGAAGAAATGTTTCTTGAGCACTAAATCAGCATATTAGAATGATTTCTGAAGGATCATGTGACACTGAAGACTGGAGTAATGATGCTGAAAATTCAGCTTTGCATCACAGAAATAAATTACATTTTAAAATATATTAGGATAGAAAAAAAAGTTATTTTAACCCTCTGGTTATCTTCGGGGTCTTTTTGACCCGCAAATGACTTTTGGTGAATTTTTTTTTAAAGTTCTCTTTGTCCAAATGGTATGAAAACGTATACGCCTCTTAACACTGTCTAGATCTACCAAAAAAAATATATATTGGAATGATATCTGTTTTTATGTTAGCGTGAAAAAAATGCCAGCACTTGTTATCTTCGGGGTCCCTGGAGACCCCGCATAGTAAATATACAAAATTCATCATCAAAATCAGAAACAACGAAGAAACAACACAGATCAACATAGACAGAAATAAAGTGGCACACTTCCAACAATGCAAAAAAAAAAAAATCCACAATGCAGACACACACACACACACACACAGCAATACATTTGTAAGGCTATACTATGCATACTGCCTGCAGTGCACTGACGCATAAACACCTGCAGTGCACTGTAAACGAGACTGTATGTGATGACCACCAATTATTGTTCCTAGTTGTTCGATTTTTTCCCCATTCACTTTTTTTTAACTAAATTTTATTTTTTTACTGCTTTATTTGCTCATTTGTTATTGCTGTTCAGTTCATTGCATTTTGATGGTCATGTATTTTTACTCAATATGTAATATAACTGTTCATTTCTGTAATTTTTTGTTCTGTTACAGTTAGTAAAATTGTAGAATTAAAATTGTAGAATTATATTAAAAACAGATGATTGAAATAAATTATAAAATCTAAAGACTCCAACATTTGGAGTCTTGTTCAGGTTTGATTCTAATCATAATGTAACATTATTGAAAAACTTTTGTCTGTACAAAAAATGCTAAACTTTGACAAAAAGGTTTTTTTTTTGTGTTATAATTGTGATTTTATCATATTTAGATATGAATCCAACTGGAAAAACTTGTGAAAAGATATGTAGTTTGGTTAATCACATAGCAAATAGCTTATAGTGGAGGTCTATGGCCATCTAGTGGTTAAAGTGAGTTTTTTTTTTTTTTTTTTTTTTTAAATGGGCAAAAATCTTACATTAAATAATTTAAAATGATCCATGTTATCCCCATAAATGAAAGTTAGAAATCTGGGTCTTTTATAAAGTAAATTTGACAAAGTGCTGTTTTTTGTAAAAAAGCCTATTTAAATAAATTTTTAGTTATTTATTTATAGAAATTTAAAAGATATAAAAAATCCTCCAAAAACTGCACAAATGTTGAGTAAAAACATTAATAAACAGACTAAAATTACATTTGTAAAAAAAATTACAAAATTAAATGTTATTGTCTGGGGTCCCTGGAGACCCCAAAGATAATGAGTGTAGACACAAATGAAGATAATCAGAGGGTTAAATGGTAATAATATTTCACAATATTATCGTTTTTACTGTATTTTTGATCAAATAAATGCAGCCTTGGTGAGCATAAGAGACTTCTTTTGAAATTATAATTTTTTTTTAAATCTTACTGACCCCACATTTTTTAACAATAATGTATTTTGACTTTACATAAATTCATATGGATATTGTGTAGTGGTAAAGAAAAGTGATAAAGCTAACCAGTTTTATTTATGCGGCCACATGCTCGTGCAACAAAACTACATCTCATTACTTTTTGTGGCAAAAGAGGATCAATTACACAGATAATAAGCATTGTTATAACTTCATTTCGATGCACTCGTGCTAAAAAGCTTCCATCTTGTTGGAAAGTTGAAAGAGAGAAAGAAACGGGCAGTCCACCAAACATGGGCTGGTCCTGCCCTTCACATTCGGGTGGAACGCGCTAATGAATCATATTTACACGAGTGACCTTTGTGCCATTAAAGCCCCCTCACTGATTTATTTCACCCACAGCTCAAACACTTTTTCCTGCCCTCTCCGCAAGACTTTTTTGACCTTTCTACTGAAATGTCACCGCCGCTGACCTTTAGCAAACTCTCGCCTGACACCGTTCAGTAACGATGAATAACTTGGAATTTTGTGCATGTCCGTCTGTTGTTTGTTTGGTTGTCATATACTGAACACACAATTTATGAGCATGTTTCCAAGAAAGAGATATTCGCCTGCGAGGGGTGAAATCACATCCTCATTGTGCGAGAGAGGTTTCGCCACCCCAACGCACGGCCCTAACCCATTCCTGCCGGTTACCTGGGAGACGTAGCCAGGAGGAACGTGGATTGGTGGAATGGAACCGTTCGGTGACATCATGGGAACTTCAGCAGGCCCTAAGGCAGAAAGAAAAAGAGAAGAAACCTATCAATCAAACAGTAACACAATGCTGACTCCGCCCCTTCATTCCACCACGTAATGCAAGGCTAAGCAAAGAAAATTCTAGGGGCAACGAGAAAACAGCAATGCTTTGGTAATAAGATATGCATATGCTTAGGAGATGGAATGATGGCAGTTAATCGTGATATAAGTGAGATAAGATTCATTGTTTTCTATTCAAGCAAAATATACTATATAGCAAATCTAAACTGCATGATTATATCG